ATTTACAAAATAGGCAGCAGGCTGGATTTGTCCTGTGGCCTAGTTTGCCCATTCCTGCCTGCATCCCATCGTCTAGAAATTCTTTTCTTTCTATCTCAGCCAAGAATATTCTCTCCATCCAAATTTACCAAGAGATCTCTGTGCGAATTGCTAACACCATGCCAATTCTCTGTAGTTTACTGAAAGTCTCAGGGGTGACGAAACACATAATGAAAAGGAAACCCTTCCCCAGACCTACTTAGAGCTCTCGTTGTCGAGCAGCATGCCTCGGGTTCCACTGACCTGGGGGTCTTTATGACCAGTAGTCCCTTTTTAAGGTAAGTTACTCTAAAAACACCAAAATGTCAAAGTAAGTACTTACAGCTTTGTTGGTAAGTAGGCTGCAGTGTCATCTTTATTTCTGATAATATCATTACATTTATCAAGTGTTTGAAAAACAGTAAAAGTATCTCCAATGCTATAGAGGGCTGCCAGATTTTTGGCTAACAATTTTCGTGTAGGTGGTCCAGGTGAACTACTTATTAATCCAGTTAATTGTTCAACAAGCTTTTTCTGTTTTTCCTTTACGTCAGTCTGTTATAAAAAATAAAGAACATTATCAGCTTTTTTTTCTTCTGCGTGCTTTCGTTACCTTTTAATCAAAATAAAAAATACTTAACAGTTAAAAGCTGTATTATATTAGGCATAAACTCTTAAATGAAAATGTTCAAGATAAGGAAAAGTTTGGTAAGAAAGGAACCATTCTTGGAGCACCTGGCTGGCTTAGTCCATAGGGCGTGAGACTCTTGACCTCGGGGTTGTAAGTTTGAGCCCCACACTGGGTACAGAAATTACTTAAAAATAAAATCTTAAAAAAAAAAAAAGAAAGAAATGAACCATTCTTTCCTAAATATTATCTTTCATTCCCCTCCAATACCAAAAATTTAGCTACTAACACAAGTGACTACTCTAGATCAAAAAGTTTTCACACCAACTTACTAGGAAACCATCAGTCAAAGGATGTGAAATATTGAGCATATGGACAACTGACATCTTAGAACCTAGCTAGGTTGGCCTGTAAAAGCAAAGTCAGCAGCTCATAAGATACAGGTCCGTGAAGGAAACCAAAAAAAAACAAAAACAAAACAAAACAAAACAAAACCCTAGGAGTCCTAGGCAGCACAAAAAGACATTCAAATACATTCATTCACTCAACAAATGCTTATTGTGCACTTGCTATATGCATGCACTATTCCAGGCACCGGGATGTAACAGTGAACACAACAAAGTCTCTGCCCTTGTGAGCTTCTATTCTAGCAGCGAGAGGCCAAGTTTAACACGTAAACAAATGAATAGTGTGAGTTCTTACTGTTTTGTTCAGATAGTAACAAAAGGCCTCTCTGAAAAGAAGCAGAGGTGTGAGCTATGCAGATATTGAGAGAAAAATATTCCAAGCAGAAAGAACAAGGGCAAAGGCCTTGAGGTGGGAGCTTGCTTGGTGGAGGACAGCAAGAAGGCCAGTCTGGCTGGCGGAGAGTCAGAGACAGGAAGTAATGGGAGATGAAGTCAGAAGAATATAAAGGATAAACTGTATAGCCGCTTATACACCATTGTAAGAATTTTCAGTTTTATCCTGAGTGAGAATCTGAAGCATAAGAGGTACATGATTAAAACGTTTTAACAGGAACATTCTGACTACTGAGCAACAAATACTCTACAAGGTCCATGGTTGGAAGCGTAATGAGCACTTAAGAAGCTGTTGCACAGGGCGCCTGGGTGGCTCAGTTGGTTAAGCATCCGACTTCAGCTCAGGTCATGATCTCACCGTCTGTGGGTTCAAGCCCCGTGTCGGGCTCTGTGCTGACAGCTAGCTCAGAGCCTGGAGCCTGCTTCAGAGTCTGTATCTCCCTCTCTCTCTCTGACCCTTCCCTGCTCTCTTTCTCTCTCTCTCTCTCTCTCTCAGAAATAAATGAAAACATTAAAAAAAAAAAAAAAAGCTGTTGTAATGACCCAGATGAGAGTTGAGGGTGGGAACAATGGACACGATGACAAATAACTCAATTCGGGACATGCTTAGTGGCTAGAACCCATAGGATTTGCTGATAAATGTTATGTGAAGTTTCCAAAAGAGAGAAGAATGACTCTAAGGTTTATGATGCGAGCAACCAGAAGGAAGAAATGGTTGTTTCCTAAGATGGTGAGCACTGGGGAAAGGACAGGTTTGGGACGGGGAAATCAAGAATTCAGCTTTGCATATGTTAATTTTGAGATGCTATTTAATAGAGAAAGAGGTAGTTGGATATCTGGGAGTCATTACTGTATAGATGGTAGCAAAAATCATGAGATTAGGTGACATCATGGAGGGAATAAATATTTGTATATACTCTTCCCAACAAAATAAAGTATCTATTAAGTGTTTCAAGGCAGGGGATCAACTATGTCAAAAGCTGCTGATGGTCAACTAAGACAGAATACTGACCACTGGTTGGAACAATGTGAGGTCACTGATGACAGGACAAGAGCTGTGTCAGGGGAACAGACGCAGCAAACACTCAGCTGGAAGGGGGTTAAGAGAAAATAGAGACTTCTAGCTAAGGCCCATAAATGAATCCATGCATTAACTTTGTCTCTCCAGAAACACTACGAAAAACTATATTAAAGTGCAACTACACACACACATACACACACACACAAATGCACAGATCCACAAGAGCAAAGAAAACAGGAAAAGAATCAAAAGAAAATACAGAAGCCAGGCACCCCCAATAGGGAAAGCTGACAAGAGACCTAGCTTACAACACGGAATCCCATAAAGCTCATGTTTGTTTTGTTGTTGTGTGAAGCTCCAGGTGCTTATGGAGGAGGGAGTGAATTATGTCTGGAACTGGAGGAAATGGTTGAGAGTCTAGAAGCTATAAGACTCTTATACCTCTCTCTTCCATTCAGGACTTAGGAAGCTCCAGCACAGCTGTGGGCTAGAAAGACTGTACTGAAAATGGAGCATTAAATGCGAGTTTACATACTGGATGCTGAAGTCCCAGCCTTCTCCCCCAGTTCCTAGAATCTAGGCAGCTAGTGATATGCCCTAAGACGATAGAGTAGAATAACTATGATGCCAATGCCAGAGGTTCCTCAAACCACAGGACTGGACTATAGTGGGGCACAGTTAACAAACTTCATCCTGCCCAGGAAACTTACCACTTATTCTTAAATTTGAGCAGACAGCCAAACATCACCAGGCAGTTGAGGAAAGTATGTAATTTTCAAGACAGAAAACAAAACACAGACATAGTGAAAAGCAACAAGGCTAAAAAGACCATATAGGAAAAAGGAAACAAAAAAACCCACCCGATTATAACTGCTCTGAGAGATAAGTGAAGATATCGGGATTGCTAGACAGCGCAGAGGGACCACTTGCAGGTTAGAGATTAATGAATTTAAGATGAATGCAGTCATATAAACATATTTTTCTCCAGTCATGTTCAGCTGTCTGGATAGAGCCATGAAGTAGGCAAAGAGCTAGGTTCAAATGAGGTTCAGATTTTGCCACAAAACAGAAAAAGGACAGACAAAAATTTCTATTACAGTGTTACAGTCTCAATTCCGTAAGTGACTCACAACCTTTCCAAAACATAATGCATGTTCCCTTACAAATCATAAACATATAATACTCTTCATTATGTAAACCCAGCTGGAAAAAAAGCAATACCATACCTTGTTGGCAGCGACCAATACTTTATCAAGAAATCTCAACCATTCAAAGATAAAAACTGGTCTCTTTGCTTCAGTGATTTGAGCCAAAGCTTCTTCATTTAGCAATAAACTGTGAGCCAGCTCCATTACTGTAGTTTAAAAGTCACACCTTAAAAATAAACAATAATATATTTAAAATAATAAATAAGTCACACCTTAAGAAACCAAGAAATACTTGTAAGAATCTTTTTAATGTTAAAAGTCAAAGCTTAGTGAATATAACCACTAAGTACTGAAAAGTATGGCTTTACTTCTCATTTCATTTGGGGGAAATTTACATTACTTCTTTGAGGCAAAACCCAAGAACGTAATTCTAAACAACAAGGGTAAAACAAAAACAAACATAAATGAAAGTCATGCTTGGTGAGGAAGAATTAAAAAAGGGGAAAAAGGTAAATAAAAATAAATATTGCAAATAAAAGGGTGCCTGCCTGCCTGGCCCAGCCAGTAAAACATGTGACTCTTGAACTCGGGGTCCTGAGTTTGAGCCCCACGTTGGGCATAGAGATTGCTTTTTTAAAAAATATTGCAAAGAAGGCATTATGCCTAGCGAAACACGTCATTAACCCATTCCACGAATGGGAAAACTGCAGCACCAAGATCATACACCAGCTGGGCCTGACAACCCACCCTCTTTTCTTGCTCACTGCTGAGTGCACAGCGCCCTTACCCTCCCCTGGCCCAGGACGACGTCAAAACTCCCAGGATAAAGATCCCACGCGGGAAGTCTCCAAGAGTCGTCCTTACGGACAGGAAAGGCCAGATCCTCGTGGCCGAGGCTTTAGTGACAACGCCGAGCGGTCGGGGAAATGCAGCCCAGAAGGGCAGCGCGCACTGCGGGTCTGAGTTGGCCCGGCTATCCGAGGGCCACCATCCGAGGACCACCGTGGCGCAGCGGCCGGCCTGGGGTAGATGGAAGAGGCCTCGCTAGAGCCACTCGGGCTGTCAACCACAGGAGGCGGTGGCTCGGAACCGAGCCTGGAGCCTGAGAAAGGAAAATGTTCCTTACGAACTCGATTTTCCTCCCCAGTACTCTGAAAACGTACGAGGGGGACACGGGGGTGTGTGCGTGTCACCGTGCATGCTTTGGTCGCAACGGGGATGGTTGGCCTCACCTCCGAGTCTGGCAGGGGCCGAACAGCTGAGTTCCGGGGCCAGAAGCAGCTGCCAAACGACCCGGATGCCCCGCCTCCCGCACTCCTGCCAGCAGGAAGCGAGAAAAGTGCGCGTGCGCGGAAGGTTGGTGTTGCGCAAGCGCACTAACTACATCCTCCTAGATCCTCCTGCCGCAGGTTTCCGATTAATTGCTCGCTGAGAAGCTCAGGTGGAGCTGAGGCTCAGTAGTCCTGTGCAGGCAGGTGGGCGCATGCGCAGCGCGCGCTCTTACCGGCTGGCCCGGGGCGAGTACAGCTACCAGGTAAGGGGACGGGGGCACCTGGTAGAATGGTAAAAGGCAATGGTTTGTGCGCTGGGTGTGACTGACCTATCACACTAACTCCTGCATTCCTGCCGGTGACGTTTGCAGCTGGGAGGGACGCGAGAAGGGAGCAATCAGCGGTCCCTGAGGGAGATTTTGGGACTGAGGCCTTTTTGGTTACCTTTCTACTGTGTGTCCAGCTAATTAGCCCTTCTCTCTATTTGTTTTATAATGGGATTCTCCGTGTGTCTGAAGCAGCGTTCTGGTTGCTGCCTCACTGCTCGTTCTCTGCCAAAAACAAACAAAAAAGTCACCCCAACCAAACCTACTACATTCAACTGGTAACTCCATTCTTCCAGGTGTTCAGAACAAAAACCTTGGAGTACTCGTTGACATCGCTCTTTCACACAACGCCTCCCATTCATCAGCCAGTCTCGTTAGCTCTACCTTTAAAATATACACAGAATCCGACCACTTCTCACCACTTCCACGGGTGGTCCAAGCCACCGTCGTATCTGCCTGGGTTTACAAAGTTCATCCTTATGCTTGATGCGAATGGATGATGCTGAAGTGTATTGTACCCACAAAGGGGAAGTTTTAAGAAGAAGCTGGAACCCCCATTCAAATCCGCCTAACACTTTAGAGCTAAAGGGGTCCCTTAAAAATGATCTAACCCTATTTGTAGTAACAAGAGAAATGAGACCTGGATTTTTGTGTAGTGTTGAGCAAGTCATTTACCCATATGGAGCCTTAATTTCTCCAGCTAAAAAGCTAAATAACCGTTCCTAGTGATGATTAAATGGGATAAAAATATTGAGATACCGGGTAGGTGCCAAACCATTACGTGTAAAAATACTGTTATTAGAAATGAGGAATCTGAAGTTTAGAGACGGTGGGTGAATTACCACAGTTGCTGCGTATAATCTTACATATTTTAAATGATAATAAACTTAATAATAAACAATTTAAGTCCTATTTTTGTTATAATAAAAACCTGTAATGTTTAAGGATGCACACATGGATGGAAAAACTATGAAGACAAGAAAGTGATTGAAAGGGGTGTAATTGGTTGGGGACAGCAAGGGCTCCTGGGTAGCTGACAATGGTGGTGATATTGTTGATGGTTTATATTATCTTTTGCTGTATAATAAGTTATCCCAAAATTTAGCAACCTGAAATAACTATCATCATTTATTATCTTACAGTTTCTGTGGAGCAGGAATTTGTTAGTAGTTTAGCTTAGCTCAGACTTTCTTAAGAAGATGTAATGAAGATGCTAGCCTAAGCAGAGACATCTGAAGGTTTGACTGGGGCCAGAAGATATATTACTGAGATGTCTCACTCATGGGGTTTTCAAGTTCTGTAATAGTTGTGGACAAGAGGTCTCAGGTCTTCCTGTGTGGACCTCTCCATAGAGCTGCTGAAGGGTCCTCACTATATGACAGCCGACTTTCCTTAGAATGAGTAATCTAACCGGAGTCAGAGTGATCTAACTAAGAGCTGTGGTGTCTTTTAGGACCAAGAAGTCACACTCCATCATTTCCACAATACCCTGTTGGTTACACAGGTCAATCCTGGTCACTGTGGACGGAGACTGCACAAGGGTGAGGAAAACCGAGAGGCAAGAATCATGGGGCCCGTCTTGGAGGCTACCACTTGGTTACAAGGGTGTTTGCCTGATAAAAAATCATAACCTGTACATTTGTTTTAAGACATCATGTCCTGGGGGAAAAGTAGTCTGTTATTATGAAATTACAAGGTAAAGACCCTTCTTGTTCTCAGCATAACTAAACATTTAAAATTTATGTTGTCTTGGCCATAGTGGTAGGGATATAGGGAACTTGTCTCTGAGGTTTACAGCCTGGTTAAGAAAGATATACATTAAAATTTTTTAAAGAACCAATGCAGTAATACTTTTCTTTCCTGTCCTCTGTAATTGTCCATACTCTCAGTTGGAGTTGACAGAATCCTTACTCCAACCAGTTTAAGTAATGGAGAAGTTTATTAGCGCATGTTGCTGGGAAGAATGTTAGGTCACAGCTTTAGAGAAAGAGCTAGAGGAATTAGGGTCTTAGGACCCAGAGTTAGAGACTTGGTGTTTTTAGGCGTATCTTTGTTCACTTTTTCTATCTGGCTTCATTCTGGGAATAGGAGCTCGTCATATGGCCAGGAAGACGGCCCTTTGGAGCCCACCTTCACATACTCCCAGTTCAGAATCCCCAGTGAAGAGAGATGTCTTTTCTCCCATAATCTATATATTCATATCATGTAAGGAAAGAAATGCTTATCTGCCCTGGTTAGGTCATTACCTCCTCCGTTGCTAAGACATAGTGAACAAAATTGTCCATCTTGTGCCCAGGGGAGCAGAGAGGACAGAGCTTGCAACCATCCGCTAAGACCCAATGGAGGGCAGAGGGTTGGGTTCCCAAAGAAAAGGATGGTGGGCAGGCCAAAGCAGCCTATGTGTGCTGCCATTTGTAACTAGCTTCTGGACAGCAGCATTGATAGCATCTGGGAGCCCATTAGAAATACAGAACTTCAGGCTCTAGCTCAGAATCAGACTCTGCATTTTAAAAAGATCCTGAGGCAATTCATATACATAGTAAAGTTTGAGATGTGTTTTTCTGGATAACTATTTTATCCCTGTAAGAGAAAATAATTACATGATTGTAACTATTTTGGATGGGAACTCTCCTCAGAAATGTTTCCATATAAGTGAGTTGTTAAGTATATCAAGTTCCAAGTGAGCAGCTTGAACATGGAGTGCGGTAGAGGGAAGCCTGGAGTGGTCAGGACAGGTTTTGTGAAGGAGGAAAGCTTAGGGCTAGGAGGAAGAAAATGTCTGTGATATGTTCAGGGGACAATGAGGAGCCCATGTGACTTGAATGTTGAATCCTAAAGGAGCGTCAGGGGTGAGATTATGAAGGATCCCTCCGGCTACAGTGTTAAAGTGACTAATCCTCAAGAGCCAGCAGAGTAAAACTTATTGAGGGATTGAAATAGACAGATTAAATAACCTGACTTACATGTTTTAAAAAAATTTTTTAGTGTTTATTTTTGAGAGAGACAGACCACAAGCAAGGGAGGGACAGAGAGAGAGAGGGAGACAGAGAATTTGAAGCAGGCTCCAGGCTCTGAGCTGTCAGCACAGAGCCCAACACAGGGCTCAAAGTCACGAACTGTTGAGATCATGACCTGAGCTGAAGTCAGACGCTTAACTAACTGAGCCACCCAGGCTCCCCCTGACTTATGTTTTTTTATAAAACCACTCTGGAGAGGCTGGCTCAGCGAGAAGAGCATGGAATTCTTGATCTCAGTGTCATGAGTTTGAGCCCCACATGGGTATAAAGATTACTAAAAAAAAAATAAACTTTGAACTTTTTTTAATGTTTATTTTATTTTTGAGAGAGTGAGTGAGTGAGTGGGGCAGGGGCAGAGAGAGGGAGACAGAGGATGTGAAGCAGGCTCCACACTGTCAGCACAGAGCATCGATGTGGGGCTTGAACTCACAAACCATGAGATCGTGACCTGAGCCACCCAAGAGCCCCAAATAAACTTAAGAAAAACAGTTGTCTTAAAAACCCACTCTGGAGAGGGTGTAGGGGATGGACTGGAAGAGGAGAGGCCATGTACAATGAGACTAATTAGGAAGTTGTTGTAATAGCTCAGGCTAGAAACAAATGTCTGAACTGAAGCAATGGTCACAACTATAGAAAAAAATGCCTTTGAAGGATATTGTAGAGGAAGAATTAGCAGAGGGTTATACAAGGTTCAGGAGTGGGGAGATTATAGTGACATTCATTGGAAAATAGTAGGAGATGACGGAGGTTTTGGGATAGAAGAGAATGAGTTGTTGGAGAGCTTCACACAGAAAGATGTCAGAAGGCACTTGAATGTGGTAGAGCTTCAGAGAAAGGTGTTGTTGCTTTATCCTCTTTGATTTGTAGATACTTGTGCTATATGAAGTTGAACATGGCGGAAGAAGAGGACTATATGTCTGATTCCTTCATTAGTGTCCAGTAAGTAAATGTGCACACCTCATGTGATAATATATATACATCACTTAGACTCCTAAGTGATGACATTGATTTTAAATGTGAGTTGGAAAGTCAGTTTTGTTGCTTTGTGGAAACACCTCCTACATTTCTGTACAAGGATACCAGGAGCCTTTTCTTCCCTTTTAATGCTAAACATTTGACTTCTGCCCTTGATTCCTGTTATTTTCCTCTTCCAAGCAAATTTACACTTTTGCTTTATTTCATCTTCCAGTCTCTTCCAGCTCGTATTCAGCTTTGCTCTTTCTTATTTCCAACCACCTAGAAAAATTAGTCTAAAATTACTTTTTCTTCAACTCTCTATTTTCTTTAGTTTCCTATAATCTGACACCAGCCTTCATTATTTTTACTACGGTAGCCATTCTCAGAGGTCAGTGATTGTTCTAAGATCAATGAAAACAAAGGTGATCATCAAGATGGTACTGAAATATTAAGTAACATCAGGTGAGCAAGTAGCAAAGTTAGGAGAAAACTGCATGTACTCATCTAAAACAGCCTTTTCCATTATTCTTCAGACAAGACATCAGACCAGGATTGCCAATGCTGAGGCAAATCCGAGAAGCCCGTCGAAAAGAAGAAAAGCAGCAGGAAGCTAATTTGAAAAACAGGCAGAAGAGTTTAAAAGAAGAAGAACAAGAAAGACGTGACATTGGATTGAAGAATGCACTAGGCTGTGAAAACAAAGGGTTTGCTTTACTCCAAAAGATGGGGTATAAAAGTGGTCAGGCCCTTGGCAAGAGTGGTAAGTTCCATCTGGACCTAAGCAGGTGTTCCTAACCACCAAGCGGTGCTCTATTGAGATGCACTCTTTATCCATCCACCCAGAAATGAAAACCACATAGCCACGAGGTGTAACGAGGGTATAGAGAACTGTAGCTTCCTACACCACTTTAGACAAATGTGTGCCTTCAAGAACTACCCCACTTAGCCTTGAGGCCCCAACTGTGGGGATAGGTGAGGCTTACAACGGAGGCAGCAGCTAACAGTGGTGATAAGAGAAGGGTTGAGAAGTGCAACAGCCAAAGGACGGTGAAGCAACATTGAGGATGATGGCAGGACTCTGCCCTGCTCGCTCTGTACCCGTGCCAGGTGCCTGAGTGAGCACGTGGTCGGGGAAGCTCCATTCTAACCTCCCTATTTAGGAAGGCGTGAGGCCGTACGTTCATAGTAGAGTCTGTAAGCCATTTTTCTTTTCTTCTTTGTTACAATTGCTTTGATCTTCACCTAGCAAGGCTTTGCTTTCTCTGGAATCTGCCGCTTTCTTGGACGTATAATATCAGTGTTTTCCCTTCTTGAAGCCCTACCTTCGATGGCAAAGGAGGCTGTGGGCCAGCCTTACTGAGGAGTAGATACTTGAAGGCAAGGGAGGCAGTCGATTATAGAGTATTGATGTTCAGATTTCAGTTTCAAATGGCATCGAAAGTGGAAGGGATATATATAGAACGTTGTAAAGCTGCATACTATGCTCACCTATAATCTGAAGAAGAAGTTCTAAAGTCATGTGTGTGTTTTGTTCTCTTTTCTTAGGGGGTGGTATTGTTGAACCAATTCCTCTCAACGTCAAAACAGGTATATAATTATTTCTGAGCATACTTAAAGTAATAATAACTTATGCTTAGATCTAGCACATATACTTGCATACTAAATAGGGTTTTTTTGTGATAGCACAGTTACTGTTCTTATCCTAGGAAGCCCTAGGATATTTCTTAGTTAAACTTCTCAATCTTTTAAGCTAAAATTAAAAGTTTGAGTATAAAATAAAATTTTTTTTTTAATATTTTTATTTATTTCTAGGAGAGAGAGAGAGAGAGAGACAGCGTGAGCAGGGGAGGGTCAGAGAGAGAGGGAGACACAGACTCTGAAACAGGCTCCAGGCTCTGAGCTAGCGGTCAGCACAGAGCCCAACGCGAGGCTTGAACCCACGAACCGCGAGATCATGACCTAAGCGAAAGTCGGACGCTTAACCAACTAAGCCACCCAGGCGCCCCGTAAAATAAAATTTAAACCATAAAAATATGGGGGGAAATCATAATCATTAAAAATGCAACGCTATTTTTTTGAAATGTGCTAAGGGGTTCCTTGTGGCTCAGTCAGTTGAGTGTCCAAGTCTTGATTTCAACTCAGGTTATGATCTTATGGGTTGTGAGTTCAAGCCCTGTGTCAGTCTTCACACTAACAGTGTGGAGTCTGCTTAGGATTACCCTCTCTCCCTGTCTTCCCTGCTTAGGCTGTCTCTCTCTCTAAATAAATAAACATTAAAAAAAAAACAAAGGAATGTGCTAAAAGTATTCTGAGACAGACTTATCCATTCAGTGTTTTTCTTAATACTTTGGGTGAATTAAGGAGAAAAATGTATGTTTTGTTTATTATATTTATATGAAAGTATAATAGTTGATACTGTTTTCCCAATTTAAAGAATTTTGTATTGTGTGACTATCTTATTAGATCAGACTAATGATCTTTGCAAAAATCCAATTGTGTTCGGGTTTAGGAAAAACAATCTCCAGTGTTTTCTCCTGTCATTCATGTCAAATGCTTCCGAGGGATTGTACTCAAATTAGAATCGTGTGTAATTTACAGCTGGTTAGAGGTCATGTTTTGAAGTGTGAAGTCAGTAGGGTCTTCAGCAGAGTTTGCTGTTCGAACAGGGAAGAGCGGCATCGGTCACGAGACATTACTGAAGCGGAAAGCAGAGGAGAAACTCGAAAGCTACAGAAGGAAGATCCACATGAAAACCCAGGCCGAAGAAAAAGCCGCAGAGCAGTTTCGGTAACACTTGGTATTTGAGCTGTCTTGGGTTTCACCCTGTGTTTATCGTGGTACGTTTTCTGGTAGTTGGGCATTTAAGTGAATAAAGGGAGTGCAGACTCTAGCTGGACTCTTGTTTCCTTTCCTTTAGACTGCGACTGAAACATAAGCAGGATGAAGTGAAGCTGGAAGGGGACCTTAGAAGAAGCCAGCGAGCCTGCCAGCAGCTGGATACACAAAAGGCAAGCCTCTCACCTATGTTTAGTTTGAGAAGGTTTTTTGATCCCAGTATGATTTGCCACGTAATTAGAAAAAAGGAAAGAAAAGAACCCCCAGGCCTGTGGCATCTAGCCTGCTACCTGGTAAAGCTTTCATTTAACATTCAGGACTGATCTGTGATTGACACTCATGACGATGATGCGTTTGCTGCAGGACCCAGAGTAGCCTGAGTTACCCAGTAAGGGTCCAGTAACATTTTGATATTTAATTGTTCTCTGCTTATTTGAATATTGAGGACTCAGATGACTCAGAGTGTATGGAAACTCCATTCACCAGAATATTTGATGAATAGCCCCTTTTTAGTCCATATTCATTACCTCCTGTGTCTCTAACCAGTAAAATGGTAGATTACTATATATTCCATTTTTGCTTTTATGTTTATTTCATTTTGCTTTGATGTTTCCATCAGTATAAAATGACTTCAATTAAAGTCTCAAAAGCCTCTGTAAAATTTCCATTGTGTGTAAGTAGATCTCTGGAAGCAATCTCCCACTCTTCTGCATTTCCATAGCACTTAATGTTGTGTCTGTGTCATGACACTTTTCTAGCTTACATGTACTCTGTGTGTGCTCTACGAGTAGATCTCGTGAGATCTAAAACCAAATCTCATGAGATTGTATTCTTTTTTTTCATTCAAGTTCATTAACACACAGTGTAATCTTGGCTTTGGAAGTGGAACCCAGTGATTCATCTATTTGACACCCAGTGCTCATCCCAACAAGTCCCTCCTTAATACCCATCCCCCTCACCTACCTCCCTTCTTATGTGTATTATTTTATTCCCATTAAGCTATGTGTACCCATGGCTTACTTCCCTAAGAGACTGGCAGCCACTGGGGGACAATATTTGTACTGAGTCTTCGTCCCCATGGTTCATACAGCCCAGGGCTTTACTCTTGAAGCAGCAATCAGTAAATATTCCATTGAAAGAAAGAATTCATGTTGATATGAACATCCTTGTGATAGTCTTCTGGTTAGCTGTGTTTAATTGGGAATAATTCTATATTTTCAGAATATTCAGGTTCCCAGAGAAGCATGGTACTGGTTGGGGCTTGAAGAGGAAACTGAGGAAGATGAAGAGGAAGAAAAAGAACAAGATGAAGATGAATATAAGAGCGAAGACTTGAGTGTATGTTTTGGGACTGGTTCCTTGAGCAGGGTATCTTAAGTGTATGCCTTGGTACCATTCACATTTTGAACCTGTTTGAACCTAGTTGTTCATTGGGGCATGATATTCTAACAGCATCCCTGGCCTCTACCCTCCAGGTGCCTGTTGCACTTCCCCTTGTGACAACCAAAAATATCTAGATATTGCTAAATTTCCCGAGAGGGAAAATCACCTCTAGTTGAGAACTACTATATGATAGGATTATTTTATTAACCTCAAACCAAACGTTATATAATTTCTTCTGTTAGCTTCAGTTTACACTCTCAGCTTTGGTTTGGATGACAGATGAGCTGCAAACATAAATTATCTTAATTTCTACTCTGTTGGCTGTTAAACCTCTGGAAGTGATTCTAATGAGTACCCCTCTCCACCCATAAACAAAGCAAAAAAACACAGCTCAAAGGAAGTGGAGATTATTCAAGAAAGGAATCCCATTTCTGTGGTTTTTTATGTATAAGAATTTTATAGGAAACATTTACAATTTGAAAAGCTAGTGTTCCACCTAACTGGGGGACCATTGATGAGAACTTTAATGACAAGGGGAGGCAGTGTTCACTCTCATCCCATCTGGGGGAGGTAGGTTCTTTGAAAGCAGAGTGGTGGTGGAGGGGGGGTCGTTTAAAGGATCCTGATTAAAATAAGAGCCAGTCCAAATGTATTTTCCAAATGTTAACAAGTGGTTTCTTTGTGTCTGGCAAACTTGTGAAAATATCAGGGTGGCTGGTAAACCTGGGTCATGTTCTAATATATTCCTCCCTTGATACCTCTCCTACCTGATTAAGACAGTAGCAGATTTATGGCGTTGGGCTAATTTGGTAGCATCCAAGAGACCAGAATATCAAGATTATGTTCAATTTGAACCATGACTGTGCCTATGTCCTACATGTAGGTCCTGGAAAAATTACAAATATTGACTGGTTATTTAAGAGAAGAACATCTGTATTGTATTTGGTGTGGAACAGCCTTTGAAGGTATGAGGATACTTTGCACTTTTTAAAAATATTGAATACAAATGCTCTTTGACTTTTTAACTTCGATTGTGTGTGTGTGCATGTGTGTGTGTGTGTTTGCAAGTCATATTTTCCATAGACAATGGAAATTTCTTATTCTCTCCAAATGGCAGCGTGGGATCAATGACTTAAAGCAGTGGTGCACATAGAAATAATTGTGGTCTCATTAAAGGTGCTTTTAACTTTTCAGAAACTAAATATGCAGAAGGGAATTTTTCAGTTCTCTATTTCAAAAGGAAGAATTTATGAGTTACTTGAGGATGAATTTTTTTCATGCCTTACTCTTAAAGATTCTTTCTTCAGCTGCAGTACTTGCAAGATATTTCAGATTTTTAGCACTGGCTTTTCTGTAAATAGAATATTGTTTCAGAATACTGAAATCCACTCCATTTTTTCTTATTATATGGGTTTAAGAAATGGGTTTAAAACTTGCCAGACCTTATAGAGCCAAGCATTTTCCCTTCTAACACATCCCCCCAAGTTGGCTCTGTTAACTTGAATTTATGGACTTTACGCTTGACAGTAAAGAATTGTTGGTTTTGGTTGTATTTTGTCCCAGTTTAGCTAAGTAGCAAACAGAGCTACAAAACACATGTTATGTTGAACTAATATTCTGGAATAGTTTTCTATACAAATAATAATCTTTTATTTTCCTCACATAAATTACAGATAAAGAAGACCTCTCTTCAAATTGCCCAGGACCAACTTCTGAAGATCATGACTAAGATTATTCTCAATAAAGTAGAAACTTGGAAATTGTTATTGTTTCCTAAAAATGTTGAGCAGTCAGAATTCCCAAATTATGCCAGTTAAAGAAAGAGGGGCTTTTTAATATGTTTTGTTCTGTTTGTAATTTTAGAAGTACTTTGTACTTTATAGTTGTTCATTGATTTAAAAAAAAAACAACAGAATGCTATTTCAGAACACAAGGGTTATAGACATGGGCAATCACAATTTGTGACTCTGTTGTGATGCTATGGGGCTCAAGGATACCAACAAATAACTCTCTTATCCCCCTCTTTGCTTCAGAACAAATTTGGAAATAAGACACGGGAGTCAGAGATAGATTGAAATGTCAGCTTTATTATCAGTGATGCTGAGTTAGAGAGCAAGGTTGACTTGTTCTCCTATTACGCTCCTTAAAATATCTCCTTGACTGGACACAACTGCAGACCTCTGCCTTGCCAGGGATAGAGCCCACCCTTGCTTTCTGAGAGCATTTAGCTTTCAAGGAGAGAGGACCCACCAGGGGCAGGGCCACCCATGCTAAGTTCCCTCTCCCCAAATCACTTCTCAGATAAGACACTTCTCCGTTGAGAGGGAATGAATGAGGGTTCACAGAGCTTGCTCCCATACTTCTCTCTCCCAAGGAGCAAGAAAAAGTCCCTTACCTCCACGCAAAAAGGAAGAGGAAGGAGAAGTATCCCCCTCAATAAGACTGATGTCAGAGGCAGCATACCATTAACACTACTTCATTCTAGCCAGTTTTAGAAACCAAATAATTATGATACTTGTGGCCTAATCATGAGTTTTCATGACAATGTGTATGTCCACTATAAGTGATCGATTGCAAGTTTTGGCTAAAGGAACTTTAGAATTGGGAGTAATCTTAACTATCAGATTATCCAACTACTTACTAATTTGAGAGTCCTTGGATGACATTCCCAGCAGGAGGTAATGCAACCTCTGCCTTTATTTTTCCAGCCACAGAGAGCTCACTGCCTTAAAATGCATCGTTCCACTGCTGGGTAGCTCTAAGTGATTTTTAAAGTTATTTTTCTAAAATCTGCTTCCCTGTAATGATACCACATATAGCTAAGGACATACCATGTAGCACACCTCTAGAGATCTTCAGCCAAAATTGGGCATCAAAAACCATGAGCTTTTTTTTTTTTTTTTATAAATAGTTTATTGTCAAGTTGGTTTCCATATAACACCCAGTGCTCATCCCCACAAGTGCCCTCCTTCATGCCCATCTCCCCCCTCCCCCCCACACCCATCAGTCCTCAGTTTGTTCTCAGCATTCAAGAGTCTCTCATGGTTTGCTTCTCTCCCTCTCCCCCACGGTCCTCCGTTAAGTTCTTCCTAATCCTCCTATACGTGCAAACATGATATTTGTCCTTCTCTGCCTGACTTATTTCGCTCAGCATAACACCCTCAAGGTCCATCCATGTTGCTACACGTGGCCAGATTTCATTCTTTCTCATTGCCATGTAGTATTCCAAGAAACCATAAACTTTTTTTTAAAGTTCACAAGCTCAGGTACTTCCCCTAGATTTTGATTCAGCTAGTCAAGGGTAGTTTCCAGATATCTGTATTTTAAAGTGCTAGGAATGCGTCTGATAAGCACCTGTGCATTAGGACTAGTGCTCCAGGTTAACTACAGAGCACTGTTACATTCTTGGGGATCCACTTTTATAGCTTACCTCTCCCTACCATCAAGAAAGAGATCAACCTCTTCCTCCTCTTATTAGAAACAGCATATGCAAGAACATAGCAAAAGCATAACCTATATTTGCACAGGTTAAGATAATCAGTAGCATAACTTGTATCAACCTCTGGCCTAATATGACCTAATTCATCTGTTCTCGAGTTTAGTTTAGGGAGCATTAAAAATAATACAAGAGGTGCCTGGGTGGCCCAATCAGTTAAGCATTTGACTCTTCATCATCACAGTTCCGTTGAGTTCAAGCCCCACATTGGGCTCTGCACCGACAGTGCAGAGCCTGCTTGGGATTCTCTCTCTCCTCTCTCTCTGCCTGTCCCCCACTCACATAGTCTCTCTCTCTCTCAAAATAAACAAACATTAAAAAAAAATTTTTAGGGGCGCCTGGGTGGCTTAGTCGGTTAAGTGTCCGACTTTCCCTTAGGTCATGATCTCGCGGTTCGTGGGTTCGAGCCCCGCATCGGGCTCTGTGCTGACTGCCAGCTCAGAGCCTGGAGCCTGTTTCAGAGTCTGTGACTCCCTCTCTCTCTGACCGTCCCCTGCTCACGCTGTCTCTCTCTCTCTCTCCTAGAAATAAATAAAAAAAAAAACATTAAAAAAATTTATAAAAAAAAATTTTTTTTAATGATAATACAAGTTTCCCCTTGGCAGAGATTCTGATATAACTGGCCACTGTGGCCTGAGCATGACCCCCTTTGATTCTGAGACGCAGCACAACTTGAGAACTGCTACATGAGTTAACTTCTGGGCCTCAGTTCTTCATCCAGAAAATGAAGCCTTATCTTTATGAATATAAATACACATATAAAATACAAGAGCTTATACTGTTGTGTATTTCCTATTTACTTTTTCACTTAAAAAACAATAAAATTGTATTGATAGCTAAAACAAAGGAGTCCACCTTTCCTTGGAATTACAGCCAGATACTTTCTTGTCATTTCAGCCAGTACACTGACACTCATGCAGTCGTTCCCAAAGCTCTGTGGGTTGTTTCAGATGGAACAAACTTAGGCACCAGCTTCCTTTCCTCCTATCACTGACTCTGGGGACAACTGTCTACCTGCTTAATGGCCGAGAATATTTTTACTACGTTCATGCTCAGAATATGGGAGTAACTTTGCTGTAATCCATGACCCCACCAGATTTGTGGTTTGCATTTGTAGATCAAGGCTTGAAACTCGACATACCTTGGAGAGTGGGAAACACCCCTCATTCTTATCCATTGACACTTAAAAATCCAGGGTCCAGGGGTGCCTGGGTGGCTCCATCGGTTAAGCGCCCGACTTGATTTTGACTCAGGTCATCATGGAATTGAGCCCTGCATCTGGCTCTGCACTGATATCACAGAGCCTGCTTGGGATTCTCTCTCTCCATCTCTCTCTCTCTCTGCCCTTCCCCTGCTTGTGCTTTCTCTCCCTCTCAAAAATAAAAAATAAACTTAAAAAAAATACAGACTTCCAATATGAGTAAAGATTTCTTTTTATTAACATAAGCCTTTACTGATTTCAAAATTAGACAATGAGAACCAAACTAAGCAAAAATTTTTTAATTTGCTTTAGTGAATTTGAATTTGCTTCAGAGAAATTTATGTAAAATTTGAAACATTGTAATATGTTGTCATTTACTTTTATTTATATCGTGCTTTCTTTTTTTTTTTTTGAGTACTTTATTTTCAGTCCAATCTATAATTTCTAAAGTCTTTCATTTTCCTAAAACATAAATCCAAAATACTAGAGCTACAATTCAAAACAAATAGACTTTAATATACAAAATTGGTTTCTCTTAAACACCTTTTTTCAGAGTTATTTGCCATTTGTTGACATTTGAAAGTGAACATTATTATTTAGTATTAGACACATTTTGTAGGATCAAGCATATGAACTCCTTAATACTTTTATTTCCCACCGATTCAAAAGCACTTCCAGAGTTCCTGCTTTATGCAGGTCAGTAGGCTCACTGCCTTGGGGTAAACAAACAAGAGCCTGTCCCTGCTTTCCAGAAATTCATCGAAGGAGCCACACAGGAAAAACTGAGCTCCAAGGCAAATTGGTAAGCATAATACTGAGGTACTGAACAAGAGCAGACCTAGGGAACAGTTTCATTCTGAGCAGGGGATAGCAGAACATGAAACTGGTTCTGAATGTAACTTCAATACACAAAGTTGTAAGGAAGGGGTTACAATATGACCTGGCACTTCCACTCCCTGGTATTTACCGAAGAGAAATGAAAACACACGTCCACATAAAACCGTACCTGAATATTCATAGTAGCACCGTGGAACAACCCAAATGTCCATCAGTTGATGAATGGATAAATAAACTGTGATAGAGCCACAGAATTGACTATTAGTTGACTATAAAAAGGAATGAGGTCCTTCTCCATGCCACAACATGGATAAACCTCAAAAACATTATGCTAAATGGAAAAGACCACATATTGTATGATTTCCATTTAAATGAAAGTCCAGAGCAGGCAAATCTATAGAGACAGAAAGTAGATTATTGGTTGTCTAGCTTTGGGGGGAAATGAGGAAAGAGTGATCATGAGTACAGTTTTTCTTGTTGAATGACAAAAATGTTTTAAAACTGTGGTGGTTGGGGCGCCTGGGTGGCTCAGACTGTTAAGCGTCCGACTCTTGATTTTGGCTCAGGTCATGATCTCACGGTTCAGGAGTTTGAGCCCCATGACTGGCTCTGTGCTGACAGTGTGGAGCCTCTTTGGGATTCTCTCTCCCTCCCTCTCTCTTTCTCTCTTTGCACCTCCTCTGTGCTCTCTCTTTAAAAAACAAAACAAAACAAAACAAACCAGAAAAACATTTCAAAAAGATTAAAAACAATAAAACTGGTGATGGTTGCACTCTGAACATACTTGACACCACTTAACTGTATAGTTTAAATGGGTGAATTGTATGGTATGTATTCTCTCTCAGTCAAATTATTATTTAAAAAAAAAGAGATTTTAGGTAGAAACCATAGATGAGAACCATTGAGCATAAACCCTTATTCAGGTAACACAGCTGACTTGTGTGGCAGCCAGTGAATGTGGGTCATGGAGTGAGGGCCTCCAGAGGAGTGTGGCCCTGCTAACACCTCAACATTAGCTCAGTGAAACTCACCTCAGGCTAAGAGAATAAGTGAGCATTGTTTTAGGCCCCCAAGTTTACCATAGTTTGTCACAGCAGGCATAGAAAACGAATACAGGTCTCAATCCCTGAAGAGTCACACATATTTGAGACGTATTTGCCTCACAGTTTTACCTATTCTACAGTTTTTAGTCAGAGTTTAAGCCAATAGTGAGGCCACCATACATCTATCAACTGTAGTCCCTTCGTTCTGAGACTGTTCTGAGGAAATGCAGGATTGGGATAGGCCACAGTCACAGATAATCACAGACATCAAGGACGGGATTGACATTTAGATATAAAGAGTAAATACCTAAATGGAGCATCTGCTGTACTTTGTTCCTTAGCCTGCTTTCCTCTACATGATCTCCCCTGGATTCAAAGTTGAGTCTCAGGGGTTACTTCCAGATAACATACACATCATTCTGTGTATGATTCCATCCTTTCTCTCATGTGTTTTCTACAGTCTGCTCGATGCCTTCACCTGAATATTCTGGCAGCAACACAAACAGCATCTCCAAGTGAGGGCTAAGATTTTACACCCAACACGTGTTGGGTGTAACAACCCACCTCCTCATGCAGACAGATGTGCGGTGGCCTTACTATTGGCTTAAATCCTAATGAAAAATTGTAAAATAGATAAAAGTGTGAGACAAAATATCTCTCAAATATGTGTGGCTCTTTGGGGGTTGGATTGAAGGCTGCATCCTAATGCCTTTAATGGCATCCTAATCTGGCCACTCACCTTCAAACAAACCTGGAGGTAATTTCTGACAGTACTTTCTCCTTAATCCTCACAACTAGTCACCAACTCCTCTTAGCTCTGTCCCCAGTATCGTTCAGGCCATCTTAGCCTCTCAGCCTTCTGGTCTTGCAAATGTAGTCTCCTCCTGCTCCAGCCCATTCTAAACACAATGTTTCGAAGAACTGGTTGGGTCACACCCCTGCTCAAAAAACAAAAACCTTCTTTGTCACCTTTGGGGGTTACTAGGGCATGAACTCATTCTACACCATTTATTCCATCTACTTCATTCTGCTTTAGAGAAAGTTCTTTATAGAAGAATCACAGATGATAAAGACGATAGAATCAAAAAATCTCTAATGAAATAACGGATCCACACAACAATCTTCAATGGCTGCTAAACCATTAGGTGGAAGATTGATAGGAAACTTTAAAGTAGATTACACCACCAGAAACCACCAATCAGTTTTAAGATCACTGAAAATAAAACAACCAAACATTATGTTACTCCTGAGGAGATGCAAAAGAAAGTAAACAGCATCATCTATGCAGTATTCTTGGGGGAAAAAACTTGAACCAGAATCATATCAAACTTCTAGTCCTCACTAGACACAATGGGGATACCATCAGTCAAATCCTGAAGGAAGGAAATTCTACAGAATATATGATCCAGTTCTTTCCTTAAATAAATGATAAGAGGAAAGAAGTTTAAAACAGAGGTAAATGTTACAAAGTAAAAGAGACATCAGCTAAACGCAATGTTGGATCCTGATTTAAACAGCCAGCAGAAATATTTTTTTGTGAAAACTGAATATAGACTGATTATTATATGACAATCAAGGAAATACCATTTTGTTGAATGACAAGTTATCACGGCTTTCTTAACATTCAAAAGATCTTATGTCAGAAATACATTTTTAAGTATTTACAAGTGAAATGATACAATGACTGAGACTTGCTTTAAAATACTCCAGTAAAAGACAATTTAAAAAAGGAAGGGGGGTGGGGCACGGTGTGACTCAGTTGGTTAAGCATCTGACTCTTGATTTTGGCTCAACTCACCTCACAGTTCATGAGCTCAAGCCCCATGTCTGGCTCTGCAATGAAAACACAGCCTGCTTGGGATTCTCTCTCTCCTTTCCTCTCTGCCTCTGCTTGTGCAAGCTAGCTCCCTCCTTCTCTATCTCTAAATAAATAAACATTTTTTTTTAAAAAAAGGAAGGGGTATATATAACAAAAAAAGGCATAATAATATTGATATTTGGTGCAACTGAGTGAGGGGTACATAGAATTTCATTATTCTTTGTTCTTGTGTATGCTTTAATATAAAATTTATGAAAGTAAATATGAGAAATATTGGAGTCATTCGAGATTGCAGAATGAAAAACTAACATGCCAGGAACCTCAAGTTAGGGTGGACACTCCAGTAGGGAATAGATGTTGTGAATTTGTTTCTAGTGAGTGTCCTGGATAATGGAGTCTTGGAGAAGCTGGTATTTAGACTTCTAAACATTTCATCTCAGACACCTATGTGTGCATGCATATATATGTGTACATACACATATATATGTTCACACGCATGTCTGACTTTATGGATTTGGAACCTATGCAGTTGTAAAGCTCCATTCAAGAAGTGCCCCATGCTTAATTATTGAACAATGGCCTCATGTGTTCATTTCATTGGGTCCCACAAATTATGTAGCTGGCCATACACACACTTATCTATGTATACATGTATATATAAAAGCTAAATAACATATGTGCATAAATAACTTCTATATCCTCCACCTAGATTTATCAGTCATTCAGTTATTAAAACTTTGCCCCATTTGTTTTCTTTCTCCCTTCAGGTACATACTGATTTTTGCTGAACATTTGAAAGTTGCCATATCATGCCACTTCACCTCTAAACATTTCCTTATGCACTACCTAAAAATAAGACATCTTCCTGCATGATCACAATATCATTATCACAGCTAAGAAAATAAAAAATTAGGGGCGCCTGGGTGGCTTAGTCGGTTAAGCGTCCGACTTTCGCTTAGGTCATGATCTCGCGGTTCGTGGGTTCGAGCCCCGCGTCGGGCTTTGTGCTGACTGCCAGCTCAGAGCCTGGAGCCTGTTTCCGTCTGTGACTCCCTCTCTCTCTGACCCTCCCCTGCTCACGCTGTCTCTCTCTCTTTCCTAAAAATAAATAAAAAAAATAAATAAAAAAGAAAATAAAAAATTATTTCATAATGCCATATAATATTCCGTGCACACCAAAATGTTCTTAACTATCCCCAAAATGTCTTCTACAATTTGATGGGGTTTTTTTTTTCAATCTTTTTTTTAACATCCAGGATACAATCAAGATGCAAGTATCACATTTGGTCATTACATCACTCTAGTCTTTCTATTTGGAATATCTCCTCTACTTTTTTTGTGTATGTGATACTGACTCTTTGAGAAGCCCAAGGTAATCTTCTTATAGAATGACTTCATTCAGGATTTGTCAAATAATTTCTTCATGATTGAATTTCAGTTAAATGCTGTGGGCAAGAAAACTAACTAGGTGATAGTATATAACTCCTAGATCACGTCAGGAGAGGCTTAATATTAGGTAGTCAGTCCCACCTTCAGTGATGTGAGATTTAATCAGGTGGTTATTGAGGAGACCAGGAGATCTATTGTAAAGGTACATTTCTCTTCCCCCCCCCCATAACTGATAAGTCATCTGTGGGGTTAGATTTAAATCCTTTGAAGATTTTGTTCCCCAACAGCTTTCCAACCAATGGTTTTAGTTTCCATTGATAAACCTTGCCTTGATCAAATACTGCATTGGGAGTTGAAAACCATATTAACTGCTTTTAATAACTTTTTAGGAATAACCATAGCCTTCAAAAAAGCCTTTTCTCTGTGACTTTTCTGCTTATCCTAAACGTGACTCATTTTAAAAATTATAAAATATATGACAATTTTAGAATGGCAGTTGGTTGCCATAAAGTTTAAATCAACCCTCAGGTTTTTCCAAGATGTCATCCAAATTCTCTTCTTGTATTCTCTCCAGCAATTCAGGGAAACGAGTATCCCCACTGTTTCTTAGGTATATCTTTTCCAGAATTCAAGCCATGGCTCTTGTCCAGACTACTGCCCATATTGCTCCTCTCTACTCATCTAAATCCCTAGCCTACTTGGAAGTCTCGCTGGAATGCCACTCCTAAGCCCCGTGCCATGGTACCTTGGTAGAAAGTGATCTCCCGTGACCTCCTCCAGACTGACTACTTTCTGTGCTTATCTACTGCCTTCTACCACGGTTAGTTCTTTTAAGTGTTTGTCCTAAGAGATACAAAATGTATTTAAGATAAAAAGAGTAACTACACAGTAAACAGTAGTGAATGAACATCCAGTTAAAGAAAAAAAAAAAGTGAGGAGTGTCTGGGTGGTTGAGTCATGATGCTTAAGCACCTGACTCTTGACTTTGGCTCATGGCCTCACATCTGGCTCCATGCTAAAAGTGTAGAGCCTGCTCGGGATTCTCTCTTACCTCCCTCTCTGTCTCTCCCTCCCTTCCTCTCTCTCTCTCAAGTAAATAAATAAATAAACTTTAAAAAAGTGAACTTCCATCCCTCCTCAGATAACCACTATCAGATTTTAGAATTTATTCCTTTCTTTCCCTTTATAGTTTTACCACATTTGTTCAGATTTCTAAACAAAGTGTTTCATTTAGCATGGTCTAGAACTTTATGTAAATAGAATCATTCTGTATATATTTTCTGTAACTGGCTTTCTTTACTTAACATTATGTTCCTCAGAGATATATCACGTATCGCACTTAGCTATAATTCATTCATTTCCACTACTATATAATATTATAGTGTATGAAAAAATATAATTTATTTATCCATTCCTCTTGTGATGTACATTGTTTTTTGTTTTTGGGGCTGTTATGAACAGGGTTTCTATGAACGTTCTGGTAGGCAAGCATGTAGGAACCAAATTGATGGCTTTGAGGGTATATACACCTTCAACTTTACTGGACTATACCAAATTGTTTTCCAAAGTGATTGTATACCACTTATCTTCTTAAGAGTACCATATTTCTCTGAATAGCTTGTTAGCTATTTAAAACAGGGAGCGATCTCATATGTTTTGACCTAGATACAGCAGACATTTAACAATTATTAATTGATTCACTAGTATTTTAAAATTTTGATTACACCCCCCCCATGTTTATAATAAGGAGATACGCTACAGAAAAGGAAAATGTATGTTTTTGAAGTAAAAATTTTTTAAAAGATTCAAACCTTCCTAAAATTTAGTGAAAACTTCAGGACAAAATAAAAATAGAAGGTAAATACCCAACAGCTGTCCCTAGAAGATTTTAGGCAGTTATAGAAAAATTGAATATCCAAAGCAGGATACTTTTTTTTTTAGAAGCGCTCTAACATGTACTTCGTTTCTTCTTCTCTGCAACATTCTTCCACTCCTTCAAGGTCTCCAGTATTTCAGATGCATCAGGCCGTTTCGTGGGTTCAGGTGACAGTAATTTTTGCAGAAGAATTTTCTGTAATGATAGTGAGTCAATACTAAGAAACAGAACATTGAAATAAATAAATTTCTGATTATTTTCAAGTGCTTACTTCTCTGCTGTCAAATACATCTGGGAACTTGCCGTCCCTTAGCCCTTTAAAAATCTGAAAATAAAATACATATATATATTCATTAGGAAATTATTCACTCAGGAGGAGAATTATTCATTCACTTGGCTAAGAAGCAAGCAGGACTCCCCCTGCCCCGTCCCCCCCACCCCACCCACTTTTTCCCATTCTTAACATCAACATGGTGAAGTGTTAAGAGCATCAGCTGCATTTCTTCCCTTTGTCCTTTTTGGAATCCTACGTGATAGGTATTTTCATTATTCCTCATGTCCAGAGAGGGCTGTTGGCTCCAGGCAAGTCTCTTTCACTGAGCTTCAGACCAAGATATCCATTTGCCTATTGCCTTTAGCAGCTCCCACAGCCTCCATACCAAAGTCCATAATCTTCCCTTAATTTAGTCCCAACAGGTCTCTCCAGTGTACCCACCATCCCTTCCTTGACACTTATTACTCCCGTAAAAACGATTCTGCCTACAAGTCCCACACTCTGCACAAGGCAGGCTGGAATTACCTTCTTTCTATTTTGGACTATTAGAAGCCAACAAATCCTTCAAAGCCCAACTTAAATACCTCTGGAAAACTAAATCCCTACAGCCAGAAAGCTCTCTGTCCTGTTTCCCCAAGACTTCATGTCTTCTCCCAAAAACATGTAGAGCATTCTCTTGTATTATCTTCCCTTCTAGAATAAAAGCTCCATGAGAATAAGACTTATTCATACTTATAACCCTGTAGCACTTAGAGCAGTGTCTTAGGCAAGACAGGCCATCAATAAAATTTTACTGATTGACTCAAATAAGAAGAAACAGCTATAGTTTTAGGAGACATATACACCTTCAAAAGAAAACCAAAGTTTTTGGTCTTAAACAAAAAGCTTTGGTTGCCCAAATGTGGAAAAGAGTAAACCCATATTTCCTTATCAGTCAACACTAATATATTCACAATAAGAGCAGTTAACTGTAGCAGCAGTTTGGACATGACTACTGATAATTTTTGTTGCTTAATTCTTTTTGTGAGATTATTTACCTGTAATGTTTCTGAAACAGTGGGACATATGTAAAGAAGTTCCGCAAGAATTAGCCCCAAAGCAAAGATATCCACTTCTTTTCCATATTCTTGTAAAGAAATCTAAAGAGACCAAAATATGTTTATATTTGTTGCTCGCCTGATACAAACACACATGTCTTCTGAAGCGACAAAAGCTATTTGACCAAAATATCTTATATCATGTAACAATGCGTTTGTTAGCAAAATCTATGGAGTCTGACTGCTCTGTTTCAAATGTGTCACTAATTGGCTGCAGCACCCATGTAAATTAACCATCCATGGTGGAATAATCTCAACCATAAAATGGGGATAACAAAAATTTCAACCTCAGAGTTTGACAGTGGTGTTGAGTAAGATGAGGGAGGTGAAATAGGTAAAATGGTTCCCAGTAACTGACTTGCATGCAAATGTTAATATGTATTCACAATGTTCTATAACTGGAAGCAATCCAAATGCCCATCCGAGGAGAATGGGTAAGCACACTGTGGTATATTCAGACAATGGAATACTACTCAGTAATGAATAATATGCTGGTATAAACAACAACTAGAGGTTCTCCCGCAGACATTACTTTGAGTGAAATAATCAAATACCAAAAAAAAAAAAAAAACCATAAAGTATGATTCCATTCATATGAAGCACCAGAGAGGGAAAACTAATCTGTGGTGACAGAAATCATAGTACTAGCTGCCTCTTGGAAGAAGAGATGGACTGGAAAGGGCCTGAGGGAATTTTCACAGGTGAGGGAGATGTTCTACATTTTCTTTCTTTATTTTTTTAATGCTTATATTTATTTTTGAGAGAGAGAGAGAGAGACAGCGTGAGCAGGGGAGGGTCAGAGAGAGAGGGAGACATAGAATCTGAAGCAGGCCCTAGGCTCTGAGCTGTCAGAACAGAGCATGACGCGGGGCTGAAACCCACAAACCATGAGATCATTGACCTGAGCCGAAGTCGGACGCTTTACCAACGGAACCACCAGGTGCCCCTGTCCTACATTTTCTTAAGTTTATGGGTTTCCCAGGTATATATGCCTTTGTCAAAATGAAAAATGTACATTTAAAATACATACACTTCATGGCATATAAATTATTTCTCAATAAAATGTTTTGCGGTTTAAAAACCACTAAGAAAATAAGGAGCACAATGATGAATGATATTTTAAAAAATATGTTAGGGTGACAATACAGGGTGCAGGAGTTAAAGGGGAGCCATCAGCCACCTATGGTCTTCTACCTTCCCATTCCAGAAAAAAATTAAATTATGTTTTTATGCCACATGGTCCCCAAAGGGAAAAGGTGGATTTCCTCTCCACCCTAGACTCTCAAACATCAAAAACACGAAACTAGACAATAAGCTCTCAACCAAAAAATGTAGACTATTAGAGTCATGAAACTATACATAAGACAAACATTCAAAATCGATAGCCGTACAACCATGTTTACAACAGCAGTTTTCACAACAGCCAAAAGGTAGGGGCAACCCAAGTATCTGCTGATGGATGAACAGATAAACAAAATGTGGTATATCCATACAGTGGTTATGTTGTTAATCTTTAAAAAGGAAGGAAATCCTGACACAGGCTGCAGCATGGATGAACCTGGAGGATATTCTACTGAGTGAAATAAGCTAGTCACAAAAGGACAAATACTATAGATCTACTTATGCAAGGTCTCTGGAGTGGTCAAATTCATAGAGACAGAAAGTAGGATGGTGGTTTCCAGGGCTGGGGGAGAGGGAATGGGGAGCTGTTACATGGGTGCAGAGTTTCTGTTTTGCAAGATGAAGAGTTCTGGAGATGGATGGTGGAATTGGTAGCACAGCATGAATGTACTTGATGCCACTGAACTGTACACCTAAAAATGGTTAAGATGGCAAATTTCATGTGATGTGTTTTTTACCACAATTAAAAGTAAATGAATATCTTTTAAAACTCAATAGCCTTATTAAGAACCCATGAGATACAAGGAGTCCCATTTCAACAGCAAAACACTACGTATTCAGGGAAAAGCTTTAAAAATATAAGCGATCTTCATAAAGAAAAAAATATTTTAAAACTTCATTGAAGGGGCACCTGGGTGGCTCAGTCGGTTCAGCGTCTGACTTCGGCTCAGGTCATGATCTCATGGTTCATGGGTTAGAGCCCCGCGTCGGGCTCTGTGCTGACAGCTAGTTCAGAGTCTGGAGCCTGTTTCAGATTCTGTGTCTCCCTCTATCTCTCTGACCCTCCCGTGCTCACGCTCTCAATCTCTCAATCTCTCTCTCTCTTTCTCTCTCTCTCTCTGTCTCTCAGAAATAAATAAAACATTTAAAAAATTAAAAAAAAAAAACTTCATTGAAGAATATGGAAGTGGCCTTCAGGTAGGTTTATCATTGCTCCCAGTGGTGCCCTGGCCTCCCAGTGAAAGCATGACACTTGCCAGTCTCCTTCCCTCGGGTTGGGCCATGCAATTCACGCTGGGCCACGTTTAGTGATGCACGCCCCGCCCCCACCGGGCAGAGCCTGCAAAAGTCACTGAGAGGTTCTGCCATTGCTTTCTGCTGTTTGCACAGCAGTGACCCAGATAGGGTTCTTCCTGCAGCCTGGGGTCTGGAATGAAGGAGACACGTGAAACAAAACCACAGCCAGACTGCAGCAAACACATCATGTGCGCAAGAAATAAACCTGGGTTGTTCTGAACACTATGAGGAGACGGGGAGTCACTGGCTACCACTGGATTGCCCAGCAAAAGCCGATGGACAGGGGACTTGATAAAGTGGAGGAAACCTGCCGATTTCCTGGAACAGAAGTCTCAAATATATAAAAATGTCAGTTCTCTTTGGTTGAATCCTTAAATTTAATGCAATTGCTGGCAAAATCTCCACACCAGTGATGGAATATGACAAGCTGATTCTATAGTTCATTAGAACTATAAAATCAAATGGAATAGTAAATGTGAACACTAAGAATATGTTAAAAATGAAGAATAATATGGGAGGTCCTATATTATAATGCTATAATAACCTATCTTATAATGCTATAATAACTGAAACTAAAAACTGATATTAAAGATGAAAAGCTAAAAATAAGTCATTTGGACAGAATAGTGTCCAGAAAGAGATCCATGAGTGTGTGGGAATTTCATGTATGATAAAATAGCATTTAAGTTTTTATTTAGATTCCAGTGAGTTATCATACAGTGTGATATTAGTTTTAGGTGTCAACGTAGTGATTCAACACTTCATACATCACCCAGTGTTCTTTACAACAAGTGCATTCCTTCGTCTCTGTCACCTGTGTAGACCATCCCCCTAGCCATCTCCCCTCTGGTAGCCATCAGTATGTTCTCTATAGTTAAGAGTCTGTTTCTTAGTTTGCCTTTCTCTTTTTCCCTTTGCTTGTTTATTTTGTTTCTTACGTTCCACATATGAGTGAAATCATATGGTATTTATCATTCTCTGACTGACTTACTTCACTTTGCATAATTCTTTCTAGCTCCATCCATGTATTGCAAGTAGCAAGATTTCATTCTTTTTATGGCTAAATAGTGTTCCATTGTGTGTGTGTGTGTGTGTGTGTGTGTGTGTATATACACCACATCTTCTTTATCCATTCATCAGTCAGTGGACACTTGGGCTGCTTCCATAATTTGGCTGTTGTAGATAATGCTGCTATGAACATCAGGGTGCACGTATACCTCTGAATTAGTAGTTTTGTATTCTTTGGGTTAATACCTAGCAGTGTGATTGCTGGATTGTAAGGTAGTTCTACTTTTAACTTCTTGAGGAACTTCCATACTGTTTTCCAGAGTGGCTGCACCAGTTTGCATTCCCACCAACAGTGAATGAGGGTTCTCCTTTCAACACGTCCTTGCCAACACTTGTTGTTTCTTTTATTTTTGTTTTTATTTAAAATTTTTTTATGTTTTTATTTATTTCTGAGAGAGAGAGAGACAGCATGAGCAGGGGAGGGTCAGAGAGAGAGGGAGTCACAGACTCTGAAACAGGACCCAGGCTCTGAGCTAGCTGTCAGCACAGAGCCTGATGTGGGGCTCAAACCCATGAACTGTGAGATCATGACCTGAGCTGAAGTTGGATGCTTAACCCAGGCGCCCCAACACCTGTTGTTGTTTCTTGTTGATTTCAGCCATTCTGGCAGGTGTAAGATGCTATCTCATTGTAGTTTTGATTTGCATTTCCCTGATGATAAGTGATGTTGAGCATCATTTCATGTCTCTGTTGCTTATCGGTATGTTTTCTTTGGAAAAATATCTTATGCCTATTTTTAAAACTGGATATTTTGTTTTGGGGGTGTTGACTTTTATAAGTTCTTTATTTTGGAAACTAATCTTTTATCAGATAAGTCATTTGCAATATCTTCTCCCATTTTATAGGAGAAGTCTTTTAGTTTTGTTGATTGTTTCTTTCAGTGTGCAGAAGCTTTTTATTTTGATGAAGTCCCTATAGTTTCTTTTTGTTTTTGTTTCCCTTGACTCAGGAGACATATCCAGAAAGAAGTTGCTACAGCCAGTGTCTAAGAGGTTACTGCCTATGTTCTCCTCTAGGGTTTTTATGGTTTCAGATCTCACATTTAGGTCTTTCGTTCATTTTTAATTTGTTTTTGTATACGGTGTAAGAAAGTGGTCCAGATTCATTCTTTTGCGTGTTGCCATCCAGTATTCCCAACATCCTTTGTTGAAGAAGACTGTCTTTTTCCCATTGGATAGTCTTTTCTGCTTTGTCAAAGATTACTTGACCATATAATTGTTGGTTCATTTCTGCATCTTCTATTCTATTCCAATGATCTATGTGACTACTTTTGTGCAAGTACCATACTGTTTTGATTAAAAGTAGCATTTTTTATCATGGTAAAATATACATAAAATTTATCATTTTAATCATTTTATTTGTTCAGTTCAGTGAAGTGTCTTCACAATGTCATGCAACCCTCACCAGTATCTATTTCCTAAACTTCTTCATCATCCCAAACAGAAACTGCACTCATTAAACAACTTGCCATTCTTCCTCCTTTAGGCCCTGGTAACTTTTGTTATACTTTATGTTTCTATGAATTTTCCTTCAAATAAAGGCTTATAGAACTCACCAAACTCCACACCCAAAAAACAAATAATCCAGTGAAGAAATGGGCACAAGACATGAACAGACACTTCTCCAAAGAGGACATTCCAGGTGGCCAACAGACACATGAAACATCCCTCATCATCAGGGCAATACAAATCAAAACCACACTGAGATATCACCTCATGTCAGTCAGAGTGGCCGAAATGAACAAATCAGGAGACTCTAGATGCTGGCAAGGATGTGGAGAAATGGGCACATCCATTATATTCCCACTGTTGGTGGGAATGTAAACTGGTGCAGCCCTTCTGGAAAACAGTGTGGAGGTTCCTCAAAAAATTAACAACAGAACTCCCCTATGACCTAGCAATAGCACTGCTAGGAATTTACCCAAGGGATACAGGAGTGCTGATGTATAGGGGCACATGTATCCCAATGTTCATAGCAGCACTCTCAACAATAGCCAAAACATGGAAAGAGCCTAAGTGTCCATCAACTGATGAATGGATCAAGAAGATGAGGTTTATCTATACAATAGAATACTACATGACAATGAGAAAAAATGAAATCTGACCATGTGTAGCAACATGGATGGAACTTGAGGGTATTATGCTGAGCTAAATAAGTCAGGCAGAGAAGGACAGCTACCATTTGTTTGCGCGTAGAGGTGGATTAGGAGGAACTTAATGGAGGACCATGGGGAAGAAGAAAGGGAAAAATAGTTGAGGAGAGGAAGGAAGGCAAACCATGAGAGACTCTTTAAGGCTGAGAACAAACTGAAGGCTGCTGGGGGTGGGGGAGAGAGGAAGGAGGGTAATGGGCATGGAAGAGGGCACTTGGGATGAGCACTGGGTATTATATGGAAACCAACTTGACAATAAACTATTAAAAAAATAAAAATAACAATAAAAAACTAAAGGAAAAAAATAAAAAATAAAAGCTTAAATCATGAACTATATGCTATATAGGGATAGGGCAGCTGCATATCTACATGAGGAAGATCAAGGCATATCTCTTCCTCACATGTATGCGAAAACTAATTCAAGTTAGGGTAAAGCAAAGCAAAAAACACAAAACATTTTCATAATCTGTGGGATAAAGAGCCTCCAAAATAAAAATGAGAACCCAGCAGCCATAAAGAAAATACTGATAAATATGACAACTTAAAACCTTTTATGCTACATCTTAAAGAAATAACAAGAAACAATCATCAAGGAGAACATTTCTATAATATGGTTAACAGATACAGAATCAATATCCAAAATATGTAAAAATTCCTTAGAAAGAAATTAGGAACAGATAACCTAATTAAGAAAAATGAGGAAAGGATATGAATAGAAAATCTGCCAAAAAGTTGTAAGTACATACATACATATATAGATGGCCTACCTTACTAAACATCTGAAAATGCAAACTAAAACACCAAGATGTTCCTCATTCATCACAGTGGCCAAAACCACAGTCTGGTAGTACCCTACTCTGATTGGGAGTGTGAAGGAGAAAGCAGCATTCCCTAATTTTGGGAGGATGGCATAATAGAATCACTTTTCTTGAATGACAATGTCACAGTACTTACCAAACTTGAAATGCACTTGTCAACCTATTCAGTAATTTCACTTAAAGGAACCTATCACAGACTATTATGGAGTAACTTATTTTTAGGGGCACCTGGTTGGCTCAGTCAGTTAGGCAATGGACTCTTGATTTGGGCTCAGGTCATGATCTCATGGTTGTGGGATTGAGCCCCAAGTCCGGCTCTGCGCTGAGGCATGGAGACTTCCTCTCTCTATGCCCCTCTCCCTGCTCGCTTGTATACTCTCTCTCAAAATAAATAAACTTAAGAAAAAGAAATACATGTTTTTAGAGTCAAAGATAAGGAGGAAAACATGTAAAAAGTTGGTAACAGCCTAAAGAAACACTCATCAATAAAGAAACAGTTAAATCAATGAAGGTATAGCTGTACTTCAGCCTACAATACAGTTGATAAAATGGATGTGTCAGATCCGTCTGTACTGATACAGAACAATTATGATACCCTGTGGAGTGAAAAAATATTAAGCCACAAAATAACATTACAGCCACTTATAAAAACATGTCTTTATATTTTTAAGTAAAAATTCTGTATATACATACCTATGTGTGTTTATACATGTTTATGACTCATAGAAAATAATCTAAAAGGATAAACAGCAGACTCTATGAGAAGAGTAGGAACAGAAAGTTGGGTTAAAGGGAATTTTCCACTCTCCTTCTCAATCCTTCTGAGCAGTTTTAATTTTATAAGAGGTGTCTGTTATCTTTATAATTAAAAACACAAAAGAAGTACAAACTATATAGACAGAAAGGAATGGGACCTTACCTGTTCTGGGCTCATGTATTGAAGAGTTCCTGTATTCGCTGTTCGCTTTACATAATTTTTCAGGGATGTCACAAGTCCAAAGTCTCCTATCTTTACTTGTTTTGTATCTACTAAAAATATGTTACTTGGCTACAAAAAAGAAAAAAAATCCAATATTTATTTTATAAGCACCAATTTGACAGACTGTTAACACATATTCAAATTATATTTAACAAGGGCTATTTTTATATTTCCTTATATCACATTTACTCTTACACAGGTAGCCCCAAGCAGGATATTTAATATCACAGGTCTTTAAAATGCCAGCTGAGGAAGTAAGGACTTCTCTGTCTGCAGAGAAGGCTTCAAGCATAGCTGCCTTCAAATATCTGAAGACATGTTTAGTGGGAGGTGGATTTACTCTGTACAGTACCAAGGGATGAATCCAGGACTAGAGGGTAGAAGCAACCAAAAGATTTGCTTTAATATATCCTAATATACTAATGGTGTGGCCCAAAGAATGGGCATTTGAGAGTCCCCATCTCAGGGAGTATTCAAGGTGGGGCTGGCTACCCACTTGGCAGAAATGTTGCAAATACGAGTCCAGGATCTGTTGGGGATTGAAGTCGACACCCTTAAGATCTCTTCTAAGTTTGAGATTCTCAGAATGAGTCTCTTATCAATAATGTTCTAAGATATTGTGTGCAGTGACTGTAGCAGTGAAGCTAGAAAAGTTAGAAGATAGAAAGAAGGTTCAGGAGTATTAAGGTCAGATCTTTGAGCAACTACAGACAGGGAGCAAACATTGTCTGCAAACAGACACCAGAAAACACTCTGTGACACAGGGCAACAGGAAGTATGGGGTACAGGCGAGAACTGGCAAAAGATGTGCTAGAGAAAGGAACATCCAGTGAGCACCCGTCAGTTTCATGAATTCATCCAGAGCGGCAGCCTGGGAGTTAATACCCAAACTTCTGCAGTTTTGCAGGTTACTTTATAGGTATATAATTGTGCTTAATTTGTCATTTAACTATATATATATCACCTCTTCCAAAGTGAAGGTATAGCCATTCAAAATGTATTCCTTTGAACAAAATTCTCATAACTTTCCAACTTCAAAGAGCATCTTCAGATGTTAAAGAAAAGATGGAAGTAGGTGGATTTCAACACAAAGGGCATGGGCATCCAGCTCCTGGGCAGACCAAAGATACAACACCTTTCATGGGCCAATTATTCCTGTGTAGGCCTGACAACTACAAATATGGGTCCTTCTTTTACTCAGGAAACTCTTTTGTTTCACCCCTGTTCCTGGCTATTTTAGATGAGTGGGATGAGCAAACAGCCAAGATATATAGAAAAGGTGCTTCTGCTGGATCCAGAGTGATCAGGAAAGGCTACATTAAGAAACTGAGATCAAAGAAGACAAACAGGAGAATGTTCCATGAAAGAAGAACATGACCAAAGCTTCAGTGATAGGATTCAGTATGGGCCAGTTTGTGATGGAAGTAGGCCAATCACAGGAAAGAGAGAGTGAGGGGGGCTGTGAAAAGGTGTTGTGTCTCTTCTTTCATTTTGATGAGGAGGTAAAATGGGAAAACAGCTCATCTAGACCATGAAAGAAGCTAGGAAGCCAGCAGAAAATAAGAATACAAAGGTATGCTACGTGTCCCAAGTTTTGGATTACAATTTTCCAATCATGGAGTAGGAGTGTCTAATCAAATGCCAAGAAAGTTCTAGACTCTGAACCCAGTAGCTACGATTGCCATCAAGAGTAATGGATAGGGGTGCCTGGGTTGGCCAAGTTGGTTAAGCATCCAACTTCATCTCAGGTCATGATCTCAAGTCCCGTATTGGGCTCTCTGCTGTCAGCATGGAGCCTGCTTCAGATCTTCTGTCCTACTCTCTCTCAGCCCCTCCCCCATTTGCTCACTTAGGGGAGCTCACGCTCTCCTGCTCTCTCAAAAACAAATAAACATTAAATAAGAAAAAAGAATAATGACTGAGAAATTAGGAGAATCATGTTCCCAAGACCAGTCATCAGAGTCCCTTCTGCTTCTCAAATAAGCCTGAGTAGCAGCAGAGGCAATGACAGCAGCGCTTCGGCTGTGCTAGCCACAGTCATTATTCGCAAACAAAGGTAGTTTACTAAAGCTACAGGTGTTTGCAACTAGGGTATAAAGAGCAGCCAGATAGGACCAGAAGTGTATGAACTCCTTCCTATACGGCTCATTGTCTCAATAAATTGATTTGTCCTGGGGATCCTCTGAGTGGTATTTGGGGTAAGATCTAGATCCATTCTATCTTTAGAGGATCAGAGATATTACTTCCTCAGGATTGTCAATCAATTCTAAAACTACAGAAGATACATTTTAAAATTACTACATCACAGGGGTACCTGGGTGGCTCAGTCGGTTGAGCGTCTGACTTCGGCTCCAGTCATGATCTCAAGCTTGGTGGGTTCGAGCCCTGCGACGGGCTCTGTGCTGACAGCTTGGAGCCTGCAGCCTGCTTTGGATTCTGTGTGTATCTCTCTCTGCCCCTCCCCTGCTCACACTCTGTCTCTGTCTCTCTCTCTCTCTCTCTCAAAAATAAACATTAAAAAAATTTTTTTAATAAAATTACTAAGTCATGTTTATCAATTCCTAACAAACTACATTTTCATTTACCTTAAGGTCTCTATGAATTAACTCATTGTGATGTATATAATCCACACCGGCTGTTATTTGTTCATATAATTCCAAAGCCAAATCTTTGTCTGGTGTCTTGCCTCTTCTGCTGTCAATCCATTGCTCCAATGTCCCTTTACCACAGAATTCCATTTGGATGAAAAGGCACTTAGTCTTTGGTCTGGATATAAAATTCACAGTATGTTATACGTAGCAATAAAAATAAATTTATAAAAAAATAGCATTTCTGTTTTAAATTTTCTTAAGAATCTCGAAACATATTGCAAGGCAGAAATCGAAGGGTACCTGGGTGGCTCAGTCGGTTAAGGATCGAGTGTTGATTTCTGCTCAGGTCATGATCTCACGGTTCATGAGGTCTAGCTAGCATCTGGCTCTGAGCTGTCAGCATAGAGCCTGCTTAGGATTCTCTCTCTCTTTCTCCACCTCCCCCTTGCTCACATTCATACATGCACGTGTTCTCTCTTTCTCAGAATAAATAAATAAGCTTAAAAAATGAACATCTAAATGTAAGAAACTTGAATCAAAATATAAAAAATCATTTTTTTATTTAACTCGTAAGTTCCCAGATGTCTAGAGCTTTACTTGTTAAGTAATTTATAAAGTATGAGCCTGCCCATTCTCAAATGGTAAGGGTGCTTGATCACCTTTGCTAATAGAAACGAATAGGAGCACCAATACAATGAAATCAAAGAAACCCAAATTTCAATACTACATAAGGTTCATTCTGGAACATTTTAATTCACTGTCGACCTACTGAGCATCTGTTTTGTGAAAGGCACAGAACAGTCACCTAGAGATGAGAAAACAAGTTAGATACTACCCTTGCTGTCATGGGGGCTGTAGTTTAATGAGACAGAAATACAGGAAAAACAAATCGAAAACAGTGTAAGGATCAGTTCTCAAAGAGAAATGCCAAAAATTGCTATGACATATACTTGTGAGGACTCATGTTGCTAACCATGCTTTTATATTGCTTTCTAAACTAAGTCGTATTCAATATCAATTTATTTTCTTTGACCTTATATTGGTTAGAAAATAAGAAAAGCAAGCCAAAACTTTCCTATAAGCTGAAGAAGTCCTGTCTGTATGCTGACGGTCAATAACTCCTGAAACTAATGATGAGGCTCTCAGTCACATGGGGTAGAGCTGGTGCTGGAGTTGGGAGTCGATGAATGAACAGGCCCTCAATGTCCTCAGGATTTCAGCGAGGACAGTCCTCAAGAAACACTGGCTGACTTTCAGAGGCAGATGTCAGCTCTTTGGAACCCTGCCGTCCTTTGTCAGGGGCTTACCTGAGACAAAACATGAATGATGCAAGGTGGGGCACCTCCATCACAGCTCATGGTCTCAAGATTATTTTCAATGCCCACCACCCCATATAAGTGGTGCGGTTGTATTCAAGAGACCCCTTGGGGTGTCTGGCTGGCTCAGTTGGTACAGCATGTAACTCTTGATCTCAGGGTCATGAGTTCAAACCCCATGTTGGGCATGGAGCCAAGGTACAATATTAAAAGGGAGAGGAGACCATTTGACTGCACCCTACCAATCAGGAGCCTCTGAGAGGGTCAGAAAAGTGTTGGTAACTGAGGAGGGATTTCTAGCTGTAGCATCTATAACGGGTTCAAACTTTCATCCTAAGATGGCATGTACAGCCCGGCCTGAGGTTGGGGTAAGTGAGCAAGGCTACACATTAAACAATGGAGACAAAAAAACTAAACTTGAGATTTTAAAAACTGCTGAGGACAGGGACACCTGGCTGGTTCCATTAGAAAAGCATGCAACTCTCAATCTTGGGGTTGTGAGTTCGAGCCCCATGTTGGGTGTATAGGTTACTAAAAATAATAAACTAAAAAAAGGCATAAATTTAAAAAAAGAAAACAATTGAGTACAATAAAACAATTTTTTAAAGCAAGTTTGGAGCAAGGGATGGGAGTAAGGACAAGATTATTCCTTGTTTCCTTACCTGGTGAATGGAAATGTAACAGTGTCTCAAATGGTATTTGTGGTTGGCGATTATTAAATGTAATAATTAATGGCCTTTTCTTGTGGCCCACACTTAGTAAATAACAGTTTCTTCCATTCTATTAGGGCCATGAGAATTCTTTTTAGTTACCTTGAAGTGTTAATGCTGTTCTCAGTATAGTAATCACTGCCAAACCAGCAACTGTAGTAGTGAACAATATTTCGGTGATTGAAGGCTGCCAAAGCTTTTACTTCACGCTCTGCCTTCCTGCTTTAAAGACACAGGGAAGATAAAAGTGTCAGTATCATCCCTGATACGAACGACAAGTCGAGTAACAGAAGACAACTACCTACACCCCCTTATGAAGCACTTGCCGTGGTTCCCACACCCTGAGTTTTTAGAATGGAAGCAAGAGACTCAAAAGGAAAAACCAAACATACAGAAAAAACATGGCTATCTTCACTCTCAACGTGAGAAAAGACAGTAACTAAATTAAGTTCAAGCATCAGACATTTTAAAAGCCATTTGTAGTCATCTTCGAAATCCCAGTCATGCAATTTTGGGTTGCGAATTCATACATCATATTTTGCTTAGCCTTGTGTTGAAATCACTTTGGATTTCATAAGCAAACCCTAATAGGGCAGCAAGAGTGACCCAAGCAACATGATGAACCTAATTCAAGATTTTAAGTGTGTAACAGAAATACACAAAGGAGATAATCTATGCAGAGAAAGCAAGACTTCACTGGATGTGTGGGAGCTTTAGAGTGATCTGGAGTCAAGAGCTAAGACAATTCTATGCTACATGGAAGAAGTAAATTTGAAATTTCAAGGAGAAAAGATAAGCAAACATTTTACAGTTCCATGTTTTAATTTGAAAAGTTCTATAACTACATGACATAAACTTTATAAAAATAAAGGATAAAAAAGTACTCATCCATCAACAGTCCTAACACAATCAGCTATTATTTTGGATTGTTTCTTATAGTCTTTCTTCCTATATATTTTTATATACTTGTAATTATAGTATACAGTTTTATCCTACTTTTCCATATAACAGGTTATCTTTACCATTTTCCTTGTTACACAATTTGTATAACCATCACGTATAAACATTTTAATGTAAGATTTCTAAAGTATAAAAATGTAGAGCAAATGGTTTCATGAACTGCTATCTGGCCTTTACCCAGATGAAACTGTTATTAATTCCCGGCCAATCTCATTTCATCTATGCTCTCACCCACTTCCTCATCGTCCCTGCATTATTCTGAAGCAAATTCCAGCATCATATCATCTCACATGTCAATATTTTCATTATATAAGCTTAGCCATTGAACAGGGGAGAGAAAAAAGCATACTTAATCATTTCTTCATTGCTGGACATTTGGTTTGTTCTAATTTTTCACTGTTACAAATGACATAGTGATTTACATCTTCTTTTATAACTTTTCCCAAATTTGGATAATATCCTTAGAATAGGTTCCCAGACAGGAAATCCATGGGTCAAGGTGTATAAATATTCCAAGCGGGGGATACAGGGCAGAGAGAGGAGGAGACACAGAATCCAAAGCAGGCTCCAGGCTCTGAGCTGTCAGCACAGAGCCTGACTGGGGCTTGAACTCATGAATCACAAGATCGTGACCTGAGCTGAAGTCCAACGCTTAACCGACTGAGCCACCCAGGTGCCCCTCAAAGTATATTTTTAACTGTGTTATACCAATTTATATAGCTACTAAAAATGTCCAAGATACTGTACTCTTATCATCATTACATAGTACCATTAAGAAAAATGCTACTGAATGTAAAGAACTGCACTTCACTCATGTTAAGCAAAATAATGTAAGGGGGGAAAAAAGCCTTGTTTTGATGCCAGGTGGACATGGCAAGGCATTGTCCATGGGACAGGAAGTAGGTGTGTCTGGCTGAGATGAGGAGTGGCCAGGACTCCATTCCTGCATCTCCTTTGCTCCCATCATTTTCCTTAGCTTAAACCCCTTTCCCATATCCTTGCCTAGTCCTTGGGGGAGAGATCCACCAAGTTACAAGTAATACAACTGTCAGAAAACAACAAGCAAGTCTGGTGGACTGGTGAGCTTGTGATTTAGTACCTATGTCCCACATGTTCTCTTTTTTGAAGGAGTTCTTCTATCCAGTAAGGGGAGAGGGTGGGAGTAAGCAGGTGGAGATAATACATGAAACAAACATAGGGAACACAAGGTCATCGTGGGAGCAGAGTGGATTGGCATTCGGACAACAAGTTCTAATTCTCCACCATGTTACCATAGCAGGGAGTGTCCAAAGATGGTCATCAATTTGTTTCCTCTCCATATGTACGTCCACTCCTCAGATTAAGAGATAGAGTCTATTTGACCTCCCCCTGAGTCTGAACTGGCCTCAGTGATTTTGTTTAACTGATATAATGTGGAACTTCCAAGACTAGGTCAAAAGTAGCCTTTGCTGTTCCCTCTCGGGATGACTTGCACTGGGGATGATCCTCCTTGGAACCTGGTGACTAGGTTGTGAGAAGGCCAGGTGACATAAAGAGACCATGCAGAGGTGCTCTGGTTAACAGCTGGACTTCCAGCCCACAGACAGCATCAACTGCTAGCCATATGAAACAGCCATTCCTAGTCAAGCTTTCAGATGACTTCTGACAGCAAATGCGTGCGAGACCCCATGTGAGGATGGCCCTGATGGCACAACCTACTCAGAGGACCAGGATGGAGAATAATACCTATCATTTTTAAGCCACTACATTTTGGAGTGGTGTATTACGCAGTAATAGACAAACGGTTACCTATTTACCTTTGACAAATCAGTTCTGATCTTTGGGTCTCAGTCTGCTAATCCTTCAAACAGGGAGAGAAGACCAGAAAATCTCAAAGGTCACTGTAAGCTAGATGATTCTATAACTTCAGTTTTCATTGAGACAAGCTCAAAAGGATGATCAATGGTATATCCAATTTTTTTCTGAAATGACCATAGTAAATTAGTGAGATCATTTCAGAGTAAGCCAAGCTCCTGATGATAAAGTAACATTTTTGAGGAAGACTAGACATAATAAATAATATGCTAATGAAGAAGAGAGACGCATAAAAAAGAATAGTGCAGATTCACACACCTTCTCATTCAAAGAAAGAAAACATTTACTACTTACTCGCTATCGTATTTAACACGTTTAACAACGTAAGTCTTCCCATCGATTTTGTGTTTTGCTTTGAAAACTTGGCCATATCCACCTGAGCCAATCAGTTCTATTTCTGTAAAATCGTTGGTAAACCTTGAAAGATAAATGCACGGTTATTCTGAGGTTCAATGGTCACCCAACCCTTCCACATTCCCTTAATGTCACTGGCAAAATGCACAGTACAAGAAACATGGCTCCCCCCTTCTAAATAAGAAGAGGCTACTCCACAGAGACTCTTGAATCACAAAGGATAGCTTCTTCCACTCCTGCTCCCAGACCACCCAGACCACCTCTGCTAATTACATCCAACTCCTGGCTGTACAAAAGCCATGAGAGAGAATTTTATCTCAAGTATAAAACTTCAGAAAGAAGTGCAGTCTTCTGTTCCACAGCTATCACCAAGCCGTCATAAGAGAAATGAGCATGTTCTCTGAGCCTGCCTAGGTTTGTAACTACCCGGTGTTCCCCTCTCTCTCCTGTCCTGCATTCCATCATTAAGCCCTGCCAATTCTACTTCCAAAACCTGTCCCTGATATGCGCCCACTTTTCCTCACCTCCAGCAGCTGCACACCAGTCCGACCTTCCATGAGGCCCCTGAAGAACCGTGCTAGCTTGGACATTCCACTTCCTCTCTCTCCTTTGCTCCAGTTCATGAGCCACACAGCAACCAGTGGGAAAACTGGAATATGACTGAGTTTCTCTATTGCCTCAATTCTCCAATAGCCTCCTTTTGCATTAAGCCAAAGCCAGCAAGCCCTTAGACGGCATAAGGAGTCTCCTGCTGGAAGGAGGCCCCATAAGGCGAGACAGTCTTATAGCACCGCGTCCTTGTTCACTGCGCTCCACGCACATGGCCTCTGCCCTTGAACTCTCAGTACCTTTCCTGCCTTCACCTTCCCACATGCTCTTCTTCTGCAGAACCACAGGGCCCCCTCACCTCCCTGTTCTAACTCACCCTCTAGGCCCCCACACCAGTGACTGCACGGGAAGCCTTGCCTCACCCCTCACGCTAAACCCAAGGTTCCTATTTCCACTTCTTACCATGTCATTGCTTCTAAGACCATACATTGTAATTACAGATTTTTCATGTAATTATTCTCCCCATAAAACTCTGAGAGGGTGGAAGATGTTTCTATCTGTTCCCACTCTGAATCCAATGCCCAAAACTGTGCCAGGCATGTATTAGGGACTTATGAAATGTTTGCTGATTCTTTACTCTTTTTTTTTTAAACTTGTATTCAGTGTCCTCCTGTTGCAAATAGGCTTCATTTGTTTTAGATGCTTTATTCAAACCCAGACACGCAATCTACCACAAGAGGAACCTTTTTTCTAAGTGAAACCTGGAAGGAGCTGGAAAGTGGGAAACAGATTCGGGTGGAGCTATTCAGATTCCTGCAAAAGTCTTTTCTAAAAAATCCCTGGTTTACAGATATAGTCACCTTCAATATTAAAAACTTCCACGGACGTCAGAAAAATTCACCTAAGGATCTGGTAGATCTACATTTACCACATTCCATCTGGATTCATCTAAACTTCACTTCTCCAGGAGACAATGATCTTTTGTGGGTCTGACTGTACTAAAAAAATTAAACTGTTCTGGCAGAAATATTATTTGCCCTGGCGAGTGGACAACGGTCCCTTAAGAACCTTTTGTCGAAGGAGCAAACATATCTGTAAACAGATTCTTTTTCACAGCATTCCCTCTTACCTGACTTCCACGGAGTACTTGCTGTCTTTTGTCACAGGAGAGTTAAAGGTAGGTGCCAAAGTTCTAAGATTTAAGACAAGAATATAAAACTCAAAACAGGAATCAAATATAATGTTACAGGAGGTTTTGTGTCATGCACTACTTTAAAAAAATATATATATATATGTATGTATTCAGTCAACTATTAGAATTACAGGGTAGAAAGTGTTCTCTTTCTCCTTTTTTAAACAAAAATTTTTAAATGTTTTAGTTATTTCTGAGAGAGAGACAGCATGAGCAAGGAAGGGTCAGAGAGAGAGGGAGACACAGAATCTGAAACAGGCTCCAGGCTCTGAGCTGTCAGCACGGAGCTTGACGTAGGGCTTGAACCCATGAACGGTGAGATCATGACCTGAACCGAAGTCGGACGCTTAACCAACTGAGCCACCCAGGCGCCCCTCCTTTTTCTTCATAAAACAATAAACTTAACAGTTCTTCTATGTCCACCAATGATTTTTCATTCCTTTTCTGATTCCTTATTGATTTATTTTCTTTGCCTGAACACATTTATGGCTGGGGTGCCACCAGCCTCCCCTTTCCTCCTTCTAGATTCAGAACCAGAGGAATTCTATCTGCTTACACAGTCACTCCAGTCATTTTACCCTTTGTACTTGATGCCTTACTGGCCGTGACACCTGCTTTTGGAAGTTCAAACTCCACTTAAAACTAACCCTCTTCAGGGGCACCTGGGTGGCTCAGTCGGTTAAGCATCCGACTTCGGCTCAGGTCATGAGCTCACGGTTTGTGGGTTCGAGCCTCACATCAGGCTCTGTGCTGACAGCTCAGAGCCTGGAGCCTGTTTCAGATTCTGTGTCTCCCTCTCTCGCTGACCCTCCCCTGCTCACGCTGTCCCTCCCCCCTCTCGGAAATAAATAAAACATTTTTAAAAAACAAAACTAAACCTCTTCAAATTGCTCTCTTCCCTCTAAGCCCTCAGGTCTTCAGCTTCCTTAACACCCTCTGCGCCATGATGCCTGATTCCTGTCTACGTCTTATCCACAAGGAAGAGCCTTAAAATTCTTCCTCTGTTGCTTCTTCTTCATCCACTTACTGGAACCATATTCCCTCAAACCTTGCCCACTCTTCCCATATGGTCTATCTTATAAACTCTCTCACCCTCCTCACTGTCACGATAGCCAGGGCTGATGGCCAGATCGCCTCACACATGCGCCTCTCCACCCAAACACCCACATCAAGAGCCATCTTTCCTTGGCATACCTCCTACTGTCCAGAAGATAGGTGGCTCATAATGGCTCCTACTGCCACCTTGCCCTCATGGCTGACTTATATTTACATCCTTATTTTTCTCTTCAGGAAAAGAAACCAATCCACCTGGGGTGCCTAGGTGGCTCAACAGGTAAAGTGTCCAGCTTCGAGTCAGGTCATGATCTCACAGTCCATGAGTTTGAGCTCCGCATCAGGCTGTGTGCTGACAGCTCAGAGCCTGGAGCCTGCTGCGGATGCTGTGTCTCCCTTTCTCTCTGACCCTCCTCCGCTCATATTCTATTTCTCTCTCTCCCCCAAATAAATAAACATTAAAAAAAAAAAAAAAGAAACCAATCCACCATCATTTATGTAACATTTAGTCTTTTTCTTTTCTTACCCAAGTCATCACGCCATCTCTACCCTGCCTGCCTATCTGTAAAATAACACACTTCACTGGAGATCACCTCCTCAAGCCCATGTCTGTCAGCCTCATCCAAAATAATGCCCTTAGGGGCGCCTGGGTGGCTCATTCGGTTAAGCGTCCGACTTCGGCTCAGGTCATGATCTCACGGTTCGTGGGTTCGAGCCCTGCATCAGGCTCTGTGCTGACATCCAGCTCAGAGCCTGGAGCTTGCTTCGGATTCTGTGTCTCCTTCTCTCTCTGACCCTCCCCTGTTCACACTGTCTCTCTCTCTCTCAGAAATAAATAAAACATTAAAAAATTTTTAATTAAAAAAAAGAACAAAATAATGCCCTTGACCAATGACTTTAGTGACACCCCCACAGGCTTTATGTCCAGAGTGTAGTATGTACATACATTCAAAGTTCTCTAAATATTTACAATTATTTGTTTGTAGATTTCAAGCTTTTGGTGATCCTTCACCATGCTTTCTACTTCTGAAACTCCACACAAATAAGGGTGTATAGTGCCCCAGAAATACTAAAGACCTAGTAAATAAGACTAACAAACGAAGGCTGAAATAAAACTTCATTTCAAAATACCTTCACTACATAAGGATACTCACCTTTTCACCTTCCTTTCATTACTTCTGAAATTATTCTATAATAAAAGAAAATGAAAAATAGTTTTAGATGATTAGATCAATTTTCTTGTGTTATCTTGCTCTTCTTCCTGCTGTACTTCTAGATGGTCCTGTGACTTTTTTTTTGGTCCATTAGATTAACACCCTCATCAACTTGTATACTTTCGTCAATCCCTACTTCTCGGGTTGGCTAGCTCAGTGTTCTCATCTATCACAGCAACCAGATATGTATGGCAGGAAGGACAAAGAAGTAGTCCCAGGGCATGTTCAGCAGAAGCACAGATTACCCTGTTACAGAACATGGCCTCCTGGTGACCCCACCCCCACCCCTCCTCCCCCCGCCGGCTGGTGGGCCTCAGCCAGTCATCTCATCAGTCTCAGCAGAGGCATCCACAGTGCTAATGTGGAACAGACGGAGCTCAGGGACCTAGGTTAAAGTAACTCTCCAGGTGTTTCTGATCTGATCAGTTAAAAATGGCAATGCTGGGCTGCCTGGGTGGTTCAGTTGGTTAAGCATCTGACTTCAGCTCACGTGATCTTGCAGTTCATAGGTTTGAGCCCCGCATTGGGCTCTGGGCTCACAGTGCAGAGCCCGCTGGGGACCCTCTGTCTCCCTCTCTCTCTGCCCCTCCCCTGCTCACTCTCTCTCTCTCTCTCTCTCTCTCAAAAATAAATAAAATTTTTAAAAATCTAAACTTTTAAAAAATGGCAAGGCTGATATATTCATTTTTAGCAAAAATTAACAATTAATAATGAACAATTCTCCACAATGGTTCTATCAACTTGTACTCCACCAGCAGCATATAACGTTATAACTGGAACACAGCTGTGTCAATATTTGGTACTGCCAGACTCAAATTTTGCCACGGTGATGGGTTTAATATGGTACCCAACTGTGTTTTGATGTGCATTTTCCTGATTACTATGCAGTAAAGCATCTTTTCATCTTTTGGTGCCTATTTGGGTATCTCTCCTCTGACCTGTTTGTTCAGATCTTTTGTACATCTTTCTACTGAGTTACTTTTCTTTTTCTTACTGATTTGTTTTTGCTCATTATACATAGCACACTTTTATAACACTAATTGTCACCACAAAAATTATCTGATTTTTAAAAATGTTTTGAGAGAGAGAGACAAAGCATGAGTGGGGGAGGGCAGGGAGAGAGGGAGACACAAAATCTGAAGGAGGCTTCAGCCTCTGAGCTGTCAGCACAGAGCCCAAAACAGGGCTTGAACTCATGAACTGTGAGATCGTGACCTGAGCCGAAGTTGGATGCTTAGCTGACTGACCCACCCAGGCACCCCCAAAATTATCTGATTTTTAATGTTAGTTCTGATTTTTTAAAACAGGAGCAGAACTGGGGTGCCTGGTGGCTCAGTCAGTTGAACATCCTACTCTTAATATCGGCTAAGATCATGACCCCAGGGTCTTGGGATGGAGCCCTGCGTTAAGCTCCGTGCTGAACATGGAGCCTGCTTAAGATTTCTCTCTCTCCCTCTGCCCCTCTCCCCTACGCTAGTTCCCATCCTCTCTCTGTCTCTCAAAAATAAAACAGGAGCAGAATTAAATTAATGGACCTTTTAAGTACTGTCTAATTGATAGATGAGAAACATGATCATAGGAACATATGAAAATAAGAAGGTAAGTAGGGAGAATGTGAGAGTGAATAGTGGAAGAATTTTGCATGTGAGGAATGAGAGTTAACAAAGGAGGAAGCCAGAATGCTGCCACATAGTAATATGAAAGAAGAGTGCATCAGATAATAGAAAAATTACGGTTGAGTACTGGAGGTAATTTTTAAATGAGGAAATACAAAGGAAACTAGTTAGGAAGCTACAGGCTAATACTATACCACAGGAGATGAAGCATTGTTTAGATTGCCCCCGTTACAACTTCCTCCTGGTGAATTTTCTGAGAAATCACTTTCAGGTGATGATTCAGAAGCACTAGAAGAAAGAGGAATAATTGTTAGTTTATGAATTCTGCCTATTTTTTAAATCAGTAATTGCTTTCTCTAAATCCTCCTTAAACATTAAACATTTTCATAAAAACGTGCACTTTCACGCAGCAATCTTAATTTGCTAAATATCACAGTTCTTTGTCCATACTTACAATATGCTTCTCACCAAAGAGTTCCTTCCAGAGTCACCGGGTGAAGTAATCACAGAACCATCTAATGCTGGGTTAGCGTCCTGAAAGAAAGAATACCCCTTAGGAGTTTTAAGGGTAATCAAACTATTTCTCCATACTGACTTAGTCTCTGTGTGCTTATGACCACATTTATTTATGAATGCTTGATCTGGATTTTTAAAAAACCCTGAGTGGGGTGCCGGGGTGGCTCAGTCAGGTGGATGCGCGACTCTTGATTTCGGGTCAGGTTAGGATCTCACAGTTTGTGAGTTCCAGCCTCACATCAGTCTGTGCTGGCAAGTGCAGATCCTGCTTGGGATTCATTCTCTCTCTCGGTCTCTCTGTCTTTCTCTCTCTCTGCCCTTCCCCCACTCAGGCACATGTTCTCCCTCTCTCCAAAAATAAATAAATAAATACTAAAAAACAACAACCCTGAATTGCCAACAGAACTTTGGTCTCTGGGGCCTCATGCCCTCATGGCCCTAAGGCACCATGGCTCACTGGTGAAACAAAATGGAGGAATCCTTTTGCTGTGTGACTGGCTGTTATGGCATCATCTGAACACAGTCTAACCTTTCCAGGGGAATTCTACCAAACATTTAAAGAAGAGTTAACACCTATTCTTTAGAAGCTGTTCCAAAAAATAGAAATGGAAAGAAAACTTCCAAACTCATTCTTTGAAGCCAGCATTACCTTAATTCCAAAACCCCCACAAAGACCCCACTGAAAAGGAGAACTATAGACAGATTTCCCTGATGAACATGGATGCAAAAATCCTCAACAAGATATTAGCCAACTGGATCCAACAATAACTTAAAAGAATTATTCACCATGACCAAGTGGGATGAATACCTGGGATTCAGGGCTGGTTCAATATCCACAAGTCAATCAATGTGATCCATCACATCAATAAAAGAAAGGACAAGAACCACATGATCCTCTCAATAGATGCAGAGAAAGCATCTGACAAAATACAGCACCGTTTCTGGATAAAAACCCTCAAGAAAGTAGGGATAGAGGGATCATACCTCAAGATCATGAAAGCCATTTATGGGAAACCCACCGCTAATATCATCCTCAATGGGGAAAAACTGAGAGCTTTCCCCCTAAGGTCAGGGGCATGACAGGGATATCTACTCTTGCCACTGTTATTTAACGTAGTATTGGAAGCCTGAGCCTCAGCAATAAGACACCACAAAGAAATAAAAGGCATCCAAATCGGCAAGGAGGAAATCAAACTTTCACTCTTCAAAGGGGATTTTAAAATTTCAAAGTTAAACCCAAAGGCAGTACATACCATTGAGGCTTCTTCTGATAGTATCTGCTCATACGCAATCTTAGCAGCTGACTGTTTAGCCTCTTGTTTAGTAGCACCTACACCAATACCATATTCTTTCTGTCCAACTCTGCATCTATAATGAAACCTAGGAGAAATGATGGAGATTATTTTACCCAAATAGCAAAAACCAGTAAATCTAATTTATGATTTAGAAACAAACGTGTATTAATGAAGACCCTAATATAATGTAACAGGTAGATTTACAGTTTGTAGCTTGTGTAATATAAATCTTCATTAAGATGCCTGACCAGTCTCCCAGAATAACCAGGATTGGTGACATCCCCTCTTGCATTTTCCAAGCAACTTCTCTTTGTTGCTTCATTGAAAGATTTGGTGAAAAGGGGACTCTGGTGATTTTTAGAAATGCCTTACAGGTTGGGGCACCTGGGTGGCTCAGGTGGTTAAGTGTTCAGCTCTTGACTTCAGCTCAGGTCATGATCTCACAGTTTGCGAGTCTGAGCCCTGCATCAGGCTCTGTACTGACAGTGTGGAGCCTGTTTGGGATTCTCTCTCTCTCCCTCTCTCTCTGGCCTTCCCCCACTCATGTTCTCTTTCTTTCTCAAAATAAATACACTTTTAAAAAAACTTTTAAAAAATTCCTCGGGGCACCTGGGTGGCTCAGTCAGTTAAGCTTCTGACTTCAGCCCAGGTCACATTCCTGAGTTCAAGCCCCACATCAGCCTCTCCGCTGTCCGTGCAGAGCCCACTTCAGATCTTTCATCTCCCTTTCTGTCTGAACTTCCCCTGTGCTCTTGCTCCCTCTCAAAAATAAATAAACATTTAAAATTTTTTTTAATTCCTCAAAGGTCAAAAGACATGGAGGTAGTGAAGCAAGAGAGAGAGATATCTGGTAAATTCTTCAGAGATGCTCAAATGGAAAGAAAAAGCTTAAGTAGGGAAAGTAGGATTTCTATAGGAGAAACAATAAGGTTATAGTGTTTGGTAGGGAATGGGGAAATCATAGATTTGTTCTAACTTCAGCACTTTCTGCCCCCCTCATCTTGTGCCCCCAAACCTAAGAAAATCCCCACAGTGTGAAGAAAAAACCCCCATGCTGAAGTCCACACACTCCTCATATTATACATAAGAATATCTGTGGTTAGGCAAGGACACTTGGACAATTACATGAGAATTATATTTAAGGTAGCAAATCAATGGACATGGTAAGTACCATAGAGTTACTATATATTGCTACAAAATATTACAGTATTATTTGCCATAGAGGCAAATACATCCAACCAGGGCAAGTCTTCCCGTTGGGCCCTGAAGGCAGAATTAGGTTGCATGACTGGAGGGTTTCTACGGCTCTTATTCTCTCAGGCACCTCTAGCTAGATTTCTTCTCTCTTCTAGGGAACTAATGTTAGAGTGCTTAATCCAAAGGAACCAAACAGGTGAGCAATGAAAAAACAAAACAGGGGCGCCTGGGTGGCTTAGTCGGTTAAGCGTCCGACTTTCGCTTAGGTCATGATCTCGCGGTTCGTGGGTTCGAGCCCCGCGTCGGGCTCTGTGCTGACTGCCAGCTCAGAGCCTGGAGCCTGTTTCAGTCTGTGACTCCCTCTCTCGCTGACCCTCCCCTGCTCACGCTGTCTCTCTCTCTCTACTAGAAATAAATAAAAACATAAAAAAAAAAAAAAAAAAAAGAAAAAACAAAACAGCCTCGTACTTTATTGAGATTGACCCACGCAATTCACTGTTTCATGCCAATGAATACTATCCTGCTTTTCCTTGCCCTGGTTCTGGCCTAAAAGGCATCACAGTAAAATAGTACATATTTTACTGAGTGAATTCCGAGGACGGTATCCTAAAGTGGTTATTTGGGTTATTTGCCATTCAGATATTTCTCTCTCTCTCTCATTTGCCTGGTTGGCTGTAGCCAAGAAACAATCCCCTTTAGGCTCATTTGCTTTCTGCTTTTCCTAGTTCTTATCTACTCTTTATCCTCACTTCCCAAGTCTTGGCAACTCTGAAGCTCTACTCAGTCCCTCCCATCATATTCCAAATATCCCGGTCTCCTCATAGTCTATGACTAAAACCGTTTCTTTTAATACCTGGTATTTGTCTAGAGGGTGACACCATTTCGCTGAATTTGTAGTACAAACACCTGGACAAACAGCTCTCTAATCTGATGATGGTAGAAGGACAGACCTTTTGCTTACACGTGTGGCACAGCCATTTTCACTCCCGCCGTGACCTCTGGGATGGAGACATCCCCACATCCCCGCACTTCCAAGCAGGGGCACCTCACACTCTCATAGATCTCCTGCAGTCTAAACCATCCAGATATACCTCAGAAAGAAATGATTCCCCAGATTTGATCTATTATGTTACATGGGTCCCAAGTCTTCAGCAATTAAGCATTTTAATATTTCAATTACAAAGATGTCCAATTCCGTATGAGTTCTATAAAACCTTCCATGCAGAATATACAAAAAAGAAAGGCAAATATTTCTGGAAAATGAGACATGAAAACAAGCCCATTCTATTGCTTAGATACAAGGAAACAGAAGGAAAAACTGAACTATGTCTCACCTTTCCGGTCCAGGTTCTTTCAATTCACACTGTTCATAATTTACAGGTAGTTGCTCCTTCTGGGCAAACCTATTGATACGGCCTATGAAATTCCCAGTGGATCAGAATCCTTCTGCTGAATTCATTGTTGGCAATGGTACAGAACTAACCACCTACAAAGAAAGAAAAATCGTGTTTAATACAGATAAAAACAAAAGTTGAACTATTTTGTTTAATAAAATTACTAAATAAATAATTTGAAAGACAACTGAGATTTTATGTGTTGCCCTACTCTACTACCTTGAGTAAAAGTCTAAGTATATATCTTTTTCTACCAGAAAAAATCCACAAGGAGAGGTGTTAACTATACGAGCTGCCATTTTCCTAAAGAAAAACAAAGTACTTAACGTTCTTGTTTATCCATGGGTAATACTATAACACTGTCTCACTCACTGTACCCTCTGTAAATCTCAAAAACGAAGACAACCAATATTGAAGTAAAGCCATATCCTGGATCACTCCTTAGTGAGAAAGAGGAATATAAGAGCACATTCCTGCCATTATAAAAATGGAATATACCTTTTTAAAATTATTAATCTGACCAAAGCTCGTCCAAAGCTTTCCTGTTTTATTAATCTTGTCAGAGAACTAACTTTCGGTTTTATTGACCGTCTTTATTTTTGCTTTATTTTCTCGTACATTAATCTCTGACCTTGTTATTATTTTCTTTCTTCTGCTTCTTTGGGGGAAAGTATTGTATTGTTATTTTTCTAACTTCTTGATTCGATTTTCTGGTTTATTAACAATTCATTAGTTTATAATTTTGCCTCATTTACTTTTCCCAATTTGGGTTACCAGGGTGACATCATCCAGTGAGCTTTTTCAGGAAAGTATCTTGAAAGTCAATGTTTTCAAAATGTTCAGGATGTGAGGATGATCCTCTCTTGTGCCACATATAAATGAGCTTTTGTCTCACGTTACAGCCATTTCCCAACTATCCCTTGGCTTTTAATGTTGCCATGGGCAGTGTAATATTTTTTTCATGTTTACATGTTTTTAAAATATTTATTTACTTTTGAGAGAGAGAGAGAGAGAGAGCACAATCAGGGGAGGGACAGAGAGTGAGGGAGAAGAGGATCCAAAGCAGGCTCTATGCTGACAACATGGGGCTCGATGGGGGGCTCAAATTCATGAACTGTGAGATCATGACCTAAGCCAAAGCCAGACGCTAACCAACTAAGCCACCCAGGCACCTTTTCATTTTTACATTTTAAATAATTTCCTTTCGGGGCACTTGGGTGGCTCAGTTGATTAAGCGACTTCAGCTCAGGTCATGATCTCACGGTTTGTGGGTTTGAGCCCCTCATAGGGCTCTGTGCTGACAACTCAGAGCCTGGAGCCTGCTTCGGATTCTGTGTGTGTGTGTCTCTCTCTGGCCCTCTCCTGCTGGTGATCTGTCTCTCTCTCTAAAAAGATGAATAAACATTAAATTAAAATTTTTTAAATAAAAAATAAATAAATAAAAATTTTAAAAAATTTAATAAATAATTTCCTTTTTCTGCCTGGATGCTTGCAGGATTTTGTCATCATGCCTAAAGCTCAGGGCTTTCCCACAGATGGATCGACCTTGTTCTTGGCGGCTCTGTATTTTTCTATTATCTGCTGAGTTGTTTTAATCTGCATCTAGGTCTTCCTTTACTTCAGAAACAATTTTTACTAAAATCTCTTCAGATAGCTTTTTCTGTACTCTTTACTCTGTTCTCCTCTTTGGGGATACCAAAGCTCTTGCTCAGGGCTCCTGATCTCCTGTCCTCCTGATATATCGGCCTCCTCACAGTCTCTCCATCTCTTTGTCCTTTCCCACTGCACTCCTCAGTCAGGTGGAGGGGTCCGGCCAGGACCTGTCAGCTCATGTCACTCTCTTTCCTTTCCCCATTCATTCAATTTCAGAGGCTGTCACTGCCATCAGCATTCTGAATAGGTCCAGTCAAGCTTTGCCCACTATTTCCTAGATGCACCTCTCATTCAGGGCTTCACAGAAATGGAGATGGGGAAAAAAAAGACTGAACTTCCAAATGTAAAAGAACTTGTAGGGGCACCTGGGTGGCTCAGTTGGTTAAGAGGCTGACTCTTGATATCGGCTAAGGTAGTGATCTCTCGGTTGTGAGACTGAGCCCCTTGTAGGGCTCTGTGCTGACAGCGTGAAGCCTGCTTGGGATTCTCTCTCTCCTTCGTCTTAAGCGCCTACCCCACTGGTGCTCTCTCTCTCTCTCTCTCAAAATGAATAAATAAACAAAAAATAAAAGATGGGGCACCTGGGTGGCTCAGTCAGTTAAGCGTCCAACTTTGGCTCAGGTCATGAGCTCATGGTTTGTGGGCTGGAGTCCCGTGTGGGGCTCTGTGCTGACAGCTGGGAGCCAGGAGCCTGCTTCACATTCTGTGTCTCCCTCTCTCTCTCTCTGCCCCACCTCCGCTCACACTCTGTCTCTCTCTCTCAAAAATAAATAAAACATCTTTTTAAAAATTAAAAAAATAATAATTATAAAGAAGAACTTGTGAATGGCTATACTCTGTATGGGTATTTTCTCACAGAGTAGTGTTAAAAAGGGCATTTACTCACCTTGCTTTCTTTAAGTATTTCAATAGCCAATTTAGCTGCAGCATTTTTGGCTGCCTTCTTTGATTTGCCTTCAGCTTCTGGATATTCTTTCTCATCTATGATAACTCGAAATGTAAACCTGATTACAAAGATAATATTCATAAAATATTACAAAATTCATACATTATCTAAAAACAAGTGTTCCAATTATACTCCCTCCTGTGACTACCCTGAAGGTTTTAACCCATTCAATATAGAATTTAAGCAGTTAGCTCCAAACACCGAATAGCATATCATCTTTGTTCTAAGGCTAAATTATAACTTTTTCTTTTTTTTAAAGTTTATTTATTTATTTTGAGAGTGACAGAGAGAGAGAGAGCAGGTGAGGGGCAGAGAAAGAAAAAGAGAGAGAGAATCCCAGTGCAGAGCCTGACATGGGGCTTGAACTCACAATCTGCGAGATCATGAGCTGAGCCGAAGTCAAGAGTTGGATGCTCAACTGACTGAGCCACCCAGGTGCCCCCATAGTTAAACTACTGACTTCAAAATTGTGCCAAAACTGCCATTTTCCCAGTTCATATTTTATGGACATATACCTTTAAAAAACCCCAGCAAGTTGAGGGCCCTGGCTGGCTCAGTTAGGAGAGCACACGACTCTTGATCTCAAGGTTGTAAGTTCGAGCCCCACAATGGATGTAGAGATTACTTAAAAAATAAAATCTTAAAAGAAAAAAAGCAATTTACCTTGAGTCATGTGGAGGTCCTGTCTTAGACAGTTCCTCATACTTAAGTAACATGTTGTGCCTCTGGCAGTATACATTAAGTTCTTCTATAAAAAAACTTGGTGGACGATGATTGGCCATTTCTTCTAGTAACCTAGAACCAAAGAGATGTTTAAAAAAAGTGACAAAGAAGATTTTCACAATCAAGTTTAGGAGACAAAACAGGGTAAAAAGAATTTTCTTTATAAGACTCATCTTGGGGCGCCTGGGTGGCTAAGTCGGTTAAGCATCCGACTTTGGCTCAGGTCATGATCTCACAGTTGGTGAGTTCAAGCCCCACACTGGGCTCTATGCTGACAGCTCAGAGCCTGGAGCCTGCTTCAGATTCTGTGTCTTCTTCTCTCTCTGCCCCTCCCCCACTTGCACTTTGTCTCTCTCTCTCTCTCTCTCTCTCTCATAAAGTAAAAAAGCCTCATCTTAGCCCCACATAAATACAGACTTCTTTTTTTTTTTTTTACAAAAACTTTTTTGCTCTCATGAACTGCACACCAAGGCAATTTCTCCAAAACCTTCTACTTTCTTAACTCAACTGGCCAAAAAAGGAAAGGGATCTTTCTCTTCCACTCCACGCTCTGTTTCTAGTGAGTGTCAGGTACAGGTTTATCCACCTGGATGAGAAGGTAAAAAGGCTACAGGAGTAGAATCATAATTCTTCATGCTGAGAAGAAAAATCTTGAGTACATATATAAAGTGAAGTTTATGAAATCATTAAAGAGTTTGCAATATAGAAATCTATTTCTGTATGAAATCTCAAACATCTTCCCTTTGAAAAGTCAATTTTAAGTAAATTTACCTGGGTAAATTATGACCCCAGTTTATAGGTGTCATTGGACCAAGAGAGTAGCAATGACTTAAATCATAAGAAAAATCTTAAAAAAAAAAATCTAAATATAGGAGCCCAAACTATAAAACTCTTAGTAAAATCATTTGTGTAACATGGGACACTATGAAGAAAATGAAAAGAATTTACAGAATGGGATATCTATAAGTCACATACTGATAAGGGTCTAATGTCCAGAATATATAAATAACCTTTACAACCCAACAACAAAAAGACAACCCAATTTAAAAAATAGGCAAAGGACTTAAACAGACATTCTTATAAATATTCTAGTACCCCAGAGTCCAGTCCTTGGATCTCTTTTTTTTTTAAACCTTTTTTAAATGTTTTTTTTTATTTATTGTTCTCAGAGAACATTTATTCTGAGAGAGAAAGAGAGAGAGAGAGAGAGACCAGGGGAGGAGTAGAGAGAGAGGGAGGTATGGAATCCGAAACAAGAGTCCAGGCTCTGAGCTGTAAGCACAGAGCCCAACGTGGGGCTCGAATCCACGAACCCTGAGATCATGACCTGAACTGAAGTCTGATGCTCAACCAACTGAGTCACGCAGGTGCCCCTTCTCTTTGCTCTACTTACCCTCACTTCCCTGGTGACCGCCTCCAGAATTATGGCTTTAAATTTCACCTACACAACAGTGGTCCGCAAAAGAATACTTCTACCCCTCTTTCCTGACTCCTAACTCCTCTGTCCAACACGCTGTCTCCTGAAATGTTCTTGACTCTACCCCTTCCACTCCCTTTGCCTGGTCAACTCCTATTTCCTGTAGATCTCAGCTCGAATGTCCCTTCCCAGACACCCTAGAATAGGTCCAGGTTCAGTACTCTATCACAGCTCCTGTCCCTTTTACTGCAATTGCTGATATAACTGTACTCCAAAAGAGTTCAAAAGCTACAAGAGGGAAGGGACAAGGGTGTTATAATAGCGACTCAATAATCAATGAGTGAATACCAAAATATCTGCAGACCTCCCCCACCTGCATGACTTGTCAGATGCTTTTCTCTTTGCTTTGAATGCAGTATCTGCACCCTCTGTCTACCAGGCACCTCCCACTCAACTGTGAGGCTCAACAAGTCTTCGTTGATGTTGGAGGGGCAGCTAGGATTCCTTCAAGTCCCTGCAGTTCCACCTTGCCCAGCTCCGCTAATTGCCCAGTGAGCTCTTTGGGAAACAGATTCTTTGTCTTACTCATCTTTGTGGCATCAACATTCAGTAGGCAATGGTAAGTGCTGAACAGTTGAATAGTATACAGGAAAATGAAAGAATGACTCATCAAAATTAAACACTTTCAACCCCCTCATCTTCTCCTTTTTCTTCATTTGCTGTTTTCTGTGTACCCTTTCTTCATTTATTTAATAAATGCTTATCAAGTGTCAGGCACTGTTCTGACAGTGAGTATACAGATGTGAACTGACAGGTTATGACCCTACCTGCATCCCACTGAGGGAAGACAGAAAATGACCATGTACAGAAACAAATAACAGGAGTGGATGATATGATGATCAGATGTCCGAAAGTGCTACAATGAAATTAAATAGGGGTGCGGCGCAGAGGATGATTTCTGTTGGCGGGGACAGAGATACGAGGGAGGTGGTTTTAGACACAGTGGCCGGGAAAGACCTTTTCTTAGGAGGCAATATTTAAATGAAGACTGAATGATGAGAAAGTCCATCATTATCAAGATCCGGGGGAGGAGTATCTCAGGAATCAGCATGGCCTTTGAAGGGAATGACAAAAAGATCAAGGGGACTGCTGCACGCTGAATGAGGGGGAAAGAGAAGGAAACGGGGCCAGCGCCTCCCACACAGACCTTGTAGTTCATGGTCAGAACTGGTGGATGTTATTACAATTGCAATAGGAAGTTACGGTGGTTCTCTAAGTAGAGGGTGGATGTGATTGGGTTTATGTTTTAAGTGATTACTCTGATACTATGTAAAGAACAGGGTATGGGGGCAGGGATGGTGTGAAAAGGGAAGCAGAGCATGTGCAGAAGTAAGAAGATCAAGCAGTGGTTTAGGTGAACAATGCTGGTGGCTCGAGATGCCTGGAGTCAGAGCAAAGGTAAAGCCCTCACATGACTGCTTCATGTCGTAGAGACAGGCTTTAGAGCCCCACCGATCCAGGCTACACACCCTCTGAACCTTTCATGTGTGACTTGAAGACGGGAATAAAAGCAGAGTTCAATGTTGTGGGGAATAAATCTGACAAAAAGAATCCAGCAGAGCCCTCCCCACACTGTTAACCCTCCATCAATGGTGCTCCTGGTCTGCGATTCCAAAAGCCAAAAGGCACTAAAAATTGAGGTTTATTTTGTTTCCATTTGTTCGTTTTGTTTTTGATAGGTTTGTAGGCCCCGCCCCACGTCTAGACCTGAAATGACACGAACTAGCCTTACGATACGTTGTTGTCCACTTATACATTTCACTACAGAAATTGTTTTATTAGAGAGTGCTCCCCCCAAGTCCCGCGGAGAGCATTATATAATAGCCAGGATGTGTGCTGCCTTACCTTCCTAAAATCCAAAAACCTCTAAATACCAGAACACATCTGGCCCAAAGGCTTTTGATAAGGATCTGTAGATGTACCGTAGGAATAGTGTCATTTACTTTGGTCACAACCATGAGACCACATGTCAGACTGGGAGGGGATCACAGACTTCACAACAGCAGTTATGGAAGAGAGCGGAAGTTCTATCAAATGCTCTAAATCCTCCGCACTCTTAACTTTAAGTTATTGCCGATCATCAGAATGACAAGCCAGTTTGAGTTTAAGTGAAATATATGTGTAGCCTAAGGAAGTGCTGACTTAACATGTTGGAAAAAGTACTTACAAGACTGGGAAAAAAGCAGCAGCCGGCTTCTTTTTCAACTATTGTAAATAAATCTTGTTTTAATTCTATGTTGTCATCTTCCTCAAAGAATTCCCCACCTAAATCACTGACGAGTATTATGTGTCCCTCTTACTCATACCTGGAAGTCACTCTGACTGTGCCTCTGTCCCTTCTGGCAGACCGTGAGCTGCTTGGGGCTCAGCCTCCTTGGGGGCCTCTGCAATGCTTGCCACACAACATGTATCACCTAGTATCTGACTAATGAAATGAATAAACTATAGGCCCAGGATTATGGATCCTCAGGGTCAATGAAGCAAGATGAAGAAGAGCATAATCTGCCCAAATTCCAAACTCCTAAGTTACAGCGGAGTCTATCTTTTAGCCCTCCTTCAACAAGACACTTTTTAGTGTCTTTAGAAATCACAGGCAATAGGAAGTCTCGTTATTCTGTAATTCAAAAGAGAGTAAGAGAGTTTATAAATCACCATTCATCAACAGATATTTAACGAGAACCTATTATGTACTAGGTGCCTGGGTGGTACCAGTGAACAAAACTCTATTCATGTGGGGGTGCCTGGGTGGCTCAGTCGGTTAAGCAGCCAACTTGGGCTCAGGTCATGCTCTCAGTTTGTGGATTCGAGCCCCATGTCGGGCTCTGTGCCTACAGGTTAGAGCCTGGAGCCTGTTTCAGATTCTGTGTCTCCCTCTCTCTCCCTGCCCTTCCCCCACTCACACTCTGTGTCTCCCTCTCTCTCCCTGCCCTTCCCCCGCTCACACTCTGTGTCTCTCTCTCTTAAAAATAAATAAACATTAAAAAAAATTAAAAAAAGCCCTCTATTCGTGTGAACTTACTAACGGAGGAACTCAGACAAATCCACAAAAAATGTCATGGGCTGGAAACTCTATGTTGAAAAGTGAAGCAGAATAAGGGGTGTTGCCAGAGAAGGAAGGTGTTTTGTTGTTTTAATAATATACACTATTCAGGGAAAGCTCCTCTGATATAAGTAATATTGCAGGAAGCACATGGTAAAACAGGAGCGCCTGGGTGGCTGAGTGGGTTAGGAGTCCAACTTCAGCTCAGGCCATGATCTCATACATAGGTCATGATCCCACCGTTGCTGGGTTGGAGCCCCAGGGCCTGCTTGGGATTCTCTCTCTCTCTCTCTCTCTCTCTCTCTCTCTCTCAAAAGTAAATACACTAAAAAAGAAGAAATGCAGGGTAAGGCAAAAAGAACGGCCCATGAAGGCTTCCGTGGCGGGGGGGGGGGGGGGAGATTTCCAGGAAGAGGAAACAGGCAGTGCAAAGGCCCAGAGGCAGGCCTATGCTTGGCTGTATGCTAAGAACAGTAATGAGGCCTGCAAGATGGGTCGGTCGGAGTGGAGACGGCAAGGGGGCTTGTTTGTGCCATTTATGGAATTCTGATGAGATGGTAAGCTATTGGGATGACCCGAGCAAAGGAGTGTCCTGTTCTGACTTAAAGGCCCCCTAGGGCAGCAACGATATTGAGGAAAGATACGGGGAAGAGCGTAGTACGGCGTTGGGGAGTTGACTTGGGGGGGGGGGCGGGGGCGGCTAAGGTCCGACAATTGGGAAATGATCAGAACTGCCTAGGCAAGAGATTTTCAGCCAGGGCCTCCGTATTTCCCATCTGTCTATCACATTGCCCGCCATATCTGTTTTCCACTAGATCCACCCCCCCCCACCCCCGCCCATCCCGGCCTGGGAAATGCGTTACTTGCTCTGATCGAAATTCTTCGCAGGAAGGAAATAGCTGCCAGCCGCCGGGGCGCTGCGGGAGCCTTTCCCCAGCTGCGGGGCTCGGACGGCGCTCGCGCGCGGCCGGGCCGGGGTCGCGGCCTCTCCCCGGCGGCCACTTCCCGGGCCGTCCCCGCCCCGCTCGCGCCCGGGGCCCGCTGCTCGCCCCGCGCCGCCGCCGCCCCGCTCGCGCCCGGAGCCCGCTGCTCACGCTGCGCCGCCGCCGCCGCCGCCGCCCGCCTGCTGCGTGCGGGCGGCTCGCTCTCGCTTTCCTTTTCCCCGCGGGCTCCGCCTTCTATGGCCGCGCGCCGCCCCTCCCGCATCGACTCCGGGAATCGCGGGAAATTCGAGTCTCCCGCCGAGTCTGCGCGGCGCGCGCGGCCACCCACGTGCCGCTCGGTGCCCGCGGGGCGCGCTGGGACCCTCCTGCAGCACCCCCATTTCAGGTCCTCGGGCTTCCAGCTGCGTGTCTGCGTCCGCAGGGAGGACGGGGAGAGCTCCGAGCGCCCGTGGCGTGCCAGGGTGGATATTACCCGCTCCATTTCAGGATCGGAGAAGCTGGGTAAATGAACTCGTCCAGAGTCCGGCTGCTGGTAAGTGGCAAAGTCAGGAGTCAACTCAGGGTCAGGCCTGTAAACACCAAAGTACTCCGACCTCGTTCCCTTCTGCCTCCTCACCTTTACCTGAATACCTCGCCTTCCTTCAGGCAGTTTCCACCCATTCATCTATTCTTGAACAGGTACTTGCTAGAGCTGTGCTAACCAGCGGCGGCAGGTCCAGCAGTTAGGAGTCACCTGCTCCCTGTGGGACCTTTTGGAGTTTTACTACCAAAGCCCCTACGAGTAGTCCACGATTTATAGGAAACTGACACAGTGATTGAGGAGCACTGCGGACTTACAATGCAGCAAAGTAGGTACCATTACCATACCCATTTAACAGATAAGAAAAACTGAGGTCTGAGGCACAGAGAAGTTCAGTAACACAGAAGTTAAGTAAGCAGGAGCTAGATTTAGAACCAGAAGTCCGTGCCCTGAACATCTGAGCTAGATTGAGGGAGTGAGGCGGTCCCCAGATGGACCTGTGATACACATTTGACACTGGGCATTGTCTCTAGGAGTCTTTGCCCACTCCTCTTCTACATCCCTTCAAAATTTCAGTGCCTAACTGAATGGCTAAATTTTCAATGGTTAAACTGTATTTTCTTTAGAGCCCATGTCCTGGGCAGGATTCAGATTCTGCAAATGTGAAGTCCTGGTGGTAAGTTCCCCAGCATGGAAGGTGATTGTTCACAATGAATTGGGGTAGGAGGGTATAGCATGTGTGAGTTCGTCAACACGAAATTCTCATCAAGGCTGATTTGGCCGCCGAGCACCCAGCGTTTTCACATCAGGGACCAACTCTGAGCCCCACTGTAGGGTACCATACTCCAAGGTAGACCAGCCAGCCACTTGGTGGCAAACAGGTTACACAGGAGCCCTTCCATCTGAAGTGCACAGGGATTTGCCGTGTGGGGAGTAAACATTTATTTCAGGTACAGATTTGCATTTCCTTCCTGCAGTGCTTCTGCCAGCATCATCACCATTGGATATTCTGTATACTTTGCTCACCATCATGGTATGTCTTGCTAAGAAACCCATTTGACAGAAAAAGAAATGAGACAGTCTACTGACTACCATAGAACTCAATAGTTTTATTATGAACCTCACCGCAGCTGGCTGTACAGAGCAGTAAGATGAAGTATTGAGGACTCGGGTACAGCCCCAAGCAGGAGACAACACTTAGCAAGCTGAGGGTACTGTCCTTCATGGGCAGTGTGTGTTCGAAATCAGATTGCTGTTTCTTTTATGGTCAGTACACATGAACTCAGGAAACAGTAGAAGTGAGAGGGTTGTGTCCCGCAATTAAACCTAGTTATGCTCTTGCAAAATAGCACTTCCTGTTCCTATGACATTGGGCTGTGTTTCTGGTAGGCGGTACATAGATCCTTGAATAAGAATTTGAATCAGCGTCTGGACATTTCAGGTTCATGATTCCATCAGGCTATCAAGGAAATAAGGAAGTTGCCGAACTGGCTGAGCTTACTAATGGTATTTCCAAGGCGAAATGGGGATGTAGCCACACAACGGAGTCAGGTACAAGCACGTCTTCAACTCAGGAGTTCCTCTAGAGTTCCTTCTAGTAACTCCTTGTTCAGTGATACATGTTCATGGAAATCTACAGCTGTTCAACCACACAGGGCTCTCTAGGGCTCAGATTCTTCAGGATTAAAGGTCTATGTCACCCTACTGGCTGGGAAGATTTCTGAGGGCAAAGAGAATAATGAATAAGGAAGTAATAAACACCAACTACGGCCTCATGACCTGTTGCAGAAGAAAGGACCATAGGAACCATGCATTTTTCTTCCTTGCTTTGATTTTGTATTAATAAACTTCTTTTAAGGGCTTTTCCCTTTCCTTTTCTATGAGATTTGCTGCTGGTGGTTAATTTTATGATAGTCTTCTGGTTAGAGTGTCTGACGGTAGAATTTGTGACTAAAAACGAAGAGGGAGGAGCATCACATAGCCATGGGTATAAAGACTAGGGGATTCACATGTTTTCATTTGAAGAAGAGAACAGGTGCATTAGGTGGGAGCATAGTTCTGTTGTCTGCTTGAAAGATTATTAGTGCAAGCAGTGGACTGCACAATATTGTTCATTTTTATTTAGCTTCCAATCTCGCTCCTTTCTATGTCTCCCTGTCTCCCAGATTATAAAGTATGGAAGGTTAAAATCACATTGTCCAGATTTTTACGGAGTTAAAATTCATGAGTTCTGCTAATGACTGATGAGTGGCGGTGCAAGATTTGGAAGACGGAAGGGAGGATAAGGCCATCCTCGTGTGACAGAAAGAGCTGATGAGCAAACTTCTGTGCTCATGACTCCAGGTGCCCTTGTCAATTCTCTAAGGGTATGGGGCAGCAGTGGTGGCAGCCGTGGTGGAAGGAGTGGCAGTGACAGAGTCCTGAGTTCTGGATGGCAGGTACAGTGGAAGTCTCCTGGTTTCGTCTGCCAACCTTTCCGACATATGTGCATTCATTTCCCACTGAGTCCTTATGCTTAACATGCTTACGGTGGTTTCTATTTCCAATACTGCAAAAAGAGAAATCTCCCCCCAAAGTGGAACCCACACTGAGTAGAGTTCAGAAGTGAAGGTTAAGAATCAGGTCCTCATGCACTTGTGGGGATGAGCACTGGGTGTTATATGGAAACCAATTTGACAATAAACTATTTGTAAAAAAAAAAAAAAAAGAATCAGGTCCTCATTTGAGCTCTGGATCAAGCCTCACCTGAACCAGACCCATCCTAGACCAATCAGTTATAAGAGTTCTCCCCTCCTCTTCTTTCTACTATAAACCAATATGTGTTGGGTTTTCTGTTTATTACATCAAAAGCATCCTGAATAATTTAATATTCTAAATAGCACTTCTGGTTTAAAAAGAAAGTCGCTTCATTCATTAATTTATTCAGTACATATTTATTGAGTGCCTACAATGTGCAGCATTGTACCGGATACACGATGACGGCCAAAAATGACACTATGTCCTGAATTGTTTATATAGAAATGAGTTTCAAAAAGATAAGAGTGTTTGTAGGAGAGGAGGCAGACATTCAGTTGATCTTTATTTTTTAAGTTGTTTTTTAAAAACTTTTTAATGTTTATTTTTGAGAGAGAGAGTGTGTGAGCAAGGGAGGGGCAGAGAGAGAGAGGGAGACACAGAATCTGAAGCAGGTTCCAGGCTCTGAGCTGTCAGCACAGAGCATGAACCCATGAACCGTGAGATCATGACCTGAGCCGAAGTTCAATGCTCGAGCCACCTAGGCACCCCTTAAGTTTTTTTTTTAAGTTTATTTATTTATTTTGTGAGAAAGAGAGAGAATGAGCAGAGAAGGGCCAGAGAGAGAGGAGGACAGACGAATCGAAGCAGGCTCTGTGTTGACAGCAGAGAGCCTGATGTGGGCTCAAATTCACAACCCATGAGATGGTGACCTGAGCTGTAGTCAGACACTTAACTGACTGAGCCACCAGGTACCTCTCGGTTGTTCTTTATATACTCTAAATAGTAGCCTTTTATTTAGTAACTTTTTCAAGTCTCTGCCCTGCCATTTTACATGTTTTAGTTTCACTTCCTTAATAACACAGTTTTGCCTTTTAAGATTTTTTTGTAAGCTACATCCAACCTCAGGCTAGAATTCACAACTCCGAGTTCAAGAGTCAGGACTGAGGCAGCCAGGTGTCCCACAAAGATGTTTAGATTTTAATGTAGCCAAAAACATAAACTGTTTCCTCTTTGTGCTTTCTGTTTGTTCTTTAACGAATCTCACTCTAGTTATAAAAATATTATCTTGTATTTGCTTCTAAAAATCTAAAGCTTTAAAATCTTTTTTAAGCATAAGGGTATTTAATTTGCAAGAAATTCATTTTTGTGAGCGATAGAATATAAGAATCAAATTTTACATCAGCTGTATCATAGCCAGTTGTATTTGTAGCAAATATGGAAGAGTGTAACTTCTTCCTATCATGTGCAATGGCAGCCCTGTCCTATATGGGTCAGTTCAACAGCTCTATTTTGTTCTAATTGTCTACCAATCACAGGAGCCTGGGCATTAAAGCCCAAGCTTCTTTGTTGCTGACAAATCTCTCAGCAAATGGTGGCTTAATGTCATCTCTGATTCGTACCTGGTCTGGTTCTCTGCTCCCTCTGTGGTTTTGGTCCCTGATGAGTCCACTTACTCTACTGGGGGCTGAGCAATGCAACTAAAAGAATTTTTATCCAGACTTTCTTCGTGTTCTGAGGGACCAAGGGTTTTCAGGTTATGTAATCTACCATACTACCAGAAATAGTCCTGCAGTCTCTTTCCAAGCAACTTTTTAGAAATCTTTTTAATGTTTGTTTATTTTTGAGAGAGAGAGAGAGGGAGAAAGAGAGACAGAATGCAAGTGGGGGAGGGTCAGAGAGAGAGGGAGATACGGAATCTTAAAACAGACCAGGCTCCGAGCTGTCAGCACAGAGCCTGATGCAGGGCTCGAACCCACAGACCGTGAGATCATGACCTGAGCTAAAGTTGGACGCTTAGCCGACTGAGCTACCCAGGCACCCCACTCAAAGCAATTTTATCGAACTTTTCTATGAACCATTCTTAACTGTGACCAGCTATGGTGTAAAGATTAGGGAATGTTGAGAGAGTTTGTCCAAAACATTCTTTACCTTCTCTTGTAAGTTCCACATGACTACCTGGGGTTCTGTGGTCAAAAAGCCTTAATGCCAGAATAAGACAATCTCTAATATTTAGCTTTGAAGTAAAGGTTGTGTTAAATAGACATACAATGCCCCTTGAGACTGAGGCCTCCATAGGACCTACTGAAGGAACATACACAGAGTGGAGGAGCAATGAATGCATTTTCCTTGAATTATATGATAGGATTTAGTCATCTTAATTCAGTGCAGAATTGGAATTAAATTTCCCCCAACAGTAAGTCTGAGATAACCACAAGGGCTTTGGGTTGTAGTGAGGGACAGAAGAATCATTCTGGGAGGACAAAAACTTGAGCATCATTGGGGGGCTTGTCTGATCTACACTCCACTCAGACACAGATTGAGGTGTGTCTCTGATAGTATCTGCTTGTGCTCTTATATGAACCCAGAGCATGAAAGAAGTTCCAACCCCAGCATGCCACATTAGCAAGAGTATCCCTTTTGGACAGCTAAATGGTCTTTCTTCAAAAACCCAATGGAGCACCTGGGTGGCTCATTTGGTTAAGCATCCGACTTTGGCTAAGGTCATGATCTCAGCGTTTGTGGGTTTGAGCCCCGTGTCGGGTTCTGTGCTGACAACTCAGAGCCTGGAGCCTGCTTCAGACTCTGTGTCTCCCTCTTTCTCTGCCTCTCCCCTACTTGTGCTTTGAGTGTGTGTGTGTGTGTCTCAAAAATAAATCATGAACATTAAAAAAAATTTTTTTAAAGTGAACAAACAACTCCGTGCTCAAAAACTTCAAGTGTTATCATTATTATTAAATTCATATTACATATACCTAAATGTTATTTAATTATCATTAGTGTATTATTTAATCAACTTCTTATTTCATTCTTTAATTATTATTCAGGAAAAGAAAATACCCACGCCTGCCGAACTGGCCAGAATCAAGCATGGCAATAGGATTCATACTTCAACTTTGCTCCCAGGTAAGTGCCTGCTAAGCACTCTTTGAATTTTTCATCCATTTCCTGGTTCTGAGTTTCACTGAACAAATTTTTCCAATCACCAACTTCACCTACAACACACACAAAAAGACAACAGACCCGGACACCTGTTAGAATATTTCTTCCTGAGGGTGCCTGGGTGGCTCAGTCGGTTATGCCTCCGACTTTGGCTCAGGTCATGGTCTCATGGTTCGTGGGTTCAAGCCCATGTTGGACTCTGTGCTGACAGCTCAGAGCCTGGAGCCTGCTTCAGATTCTGTGTCTCCCTCTCTCTCTGACCCTCCCCTGCTCATGCTGTCTCTCTCTCTCTCTCAGAAATAAATAAAACATTAAAAAATTTTTTTAATTAAAAAATTATTTCTTCCTAGGTTTTTTCTTTTAAGCTATTTTATTTCATTTTATTTTTATTTTTATCTGAGTGTGGTTGGCACACAGTGTTACATTAGTTTCAGGCATGTCACCCTGTGGTTCAACATACACAGTATGCTGTGCTCACCACAAATTCAGCTACTGTCTATGACCACAGAATGCCACTTACAATACCACGTGTGCCCTGTGCTGTGCCTTTTAGTCCCATGACCTGTTCATCACTCAACTGGAAGCCCGTACTTCCGGCTTCCCTTCACCCATTTTACCCATCCCCCATTCTTGATTTTACTGTTTTGTCAGTGCAGCGTTCCACTTTGAAATGTGACGTGGAGACATGAAGAAAATTAAACAGTTTTAAAAATGAATGTAATTCCTCTTGTAAAGTTAATGGTATCCTTTGGGGCTTCCCCATCGGTGGCAGGGTAGATGACGCGCTTTCTTTATAACACGGAAGGGACTGTTGACCTCAGTCATCTCCTAGCCCCGCCCCTGTCTCAACACTTGGGATCTAAAATTCCACTTTTTGAGAGTCTTTTTTTTTTTCTCTCTGTAAAGTCTTTTAAATACTTTACCCCTTGAGACTTTATCATTTTACAGCAAGTTTTGGTTAAGACCTCAGATACTGATAATTTTGCAAAAAGTTATTACTTTGCCTGAGACTAGGATATGTTTTACTTATTCTTTTTAAAAATAAAGGAAGTTACTTGTTTCTTTAGAATCTTTTGGTGATTTGGGTTGAAGTTGCAAGTTCTTTGGTGCATAGCCATTGAAATGTATGTTTATAAAGAGGGTTTAATGACAAGGAAATGCTTAGATGTATGAAGGGAATAAAACACAAAGCTGTTTACAAATGTCATCCACTATATAAAACATCCCAGAATGAGGCTGGAAGAAATATGCCAAAAAGTGAAACTTGCCTCTGATGGGAGAAATGTGGATAAGTTTTAATGCTTTTGCACATTTTCCTGTGCTTTCTGAATTTTTTTGCAAAGAATATTGTAAAATTTTTAAGTTATTTCTTTATTTTAGAATTTTTCTGTTCTGAATAGTGCTTGTTTAATTTAGCATGAGTGGCTCAGTTGGTTAAGCATCTGACTTTGTTTCAGGTCATGATCTTGCATGTTTGGCAAGTTTGAGCCCCGTGTTGGGCTCTGTGCTGACAGCTCAGAGCCTGGAGTCAGCTCTGATTTTGTGTCTCCCTCTTTCTCTGCCCCTCTCCCCACTCATGCTCTGTCTGTCTGTCTGTTTCTCTCTCTCAAAAATAAACATTAAAAAACAATGTACAGAAAAGTTCTTGTTTTGTTTCCTCCTTTAAAGCTAATCAAACAAGGCATAAAATCAGGGGTAAAGTCAGGGATCAAACCTAGACCAGATTTCCATTCAATGTTTCATTCACATTAGGTATTTTAAATGGGTCTTCATTTGATAAAGTGGAATAGAATCAAGTAAACCTACATTCAAATACTGACTCCATCGATCATTAGCTTTGTGGCAATTAACAAATTAATTTCCTTGGGATTTGGTGCCCACGTTTATAAAATTCAGGAATTCATATATTTTTTGCTATAAAATTTATGCAGATAAATAGTGCTTCCTTTAAGTCATGTTATACTTTCAATATATAAAATTAATGTTAAAAACCTGGTAATATTAAGCTATATTATCATTAATTTCCATAAGAAATTAGATTGCCTTAAAAAAAATCACAGTTCTCAACCAACAGGGCAATAAAAGGTGGCGAATGAGGTATAAAGAAGTCATTGATGAGCTTCCCACAAAGTCCTTTAAAGGGGCCCCACTCAGCTAATACATGATTCCGTCTCAGCTTGCTATTCCCTGTTTATTTTAAATATATATAATCCTTTAATTTTAATGTAATGGTGGAGCCCTGGGTGCTGTCTTGTCATCACAAATTGGCAAGCAAATACGCTAAAGGATACTGTAGATATTGTGGAACTCAGTCTACTTCTCTGGAAGTAGTACTCAGTGGAAGTATACTACTTAGTGGGACTCAGTCTACTTCTGAACTCACTGTGTCCAAATTTGTTGAAGGAGAAAAAAGAAAACCCTGTCTTGGGGCGCCTGGGTGGCTCAGTCGGTTAAGCGTCCGACTTTGGCTCAGGTCATGATCTTGCACTCTGTAGTTCAAGCCCTGCATCGGGCTCTGTGCTGACAGCTCAGAGTCTGGAGCCTGCTTCAGATTCTGTGTCTCTCTCTCTCTTTGACCTTCCCCTGCTCACGCTGCCTCTCTCTCTCTTAGAAATAAATTAAACATTAAAAATTAAAAAAAAAAAAAAAAAAGAAAACAAAATCCTATCTTAAGATAAAAGTATTTGGATTGCCTGTTACACATGCAAACTGATGGATGTCCCAGAACCCAATGCAACTTTACCTTTGCGGAACAGAAAGGGTCCAACAGCACCATGTGTTTCCTGGGACTTTGCTCGCATTGCTTGGAAGGTACTCTGGGCTGAGATGGTTTGGATCTGCTCCCCAGTTAAAGAGAATCCAAAGAACTCAGCAATTTGTTTTATTCCAGCGGCCAGGTTCTGAAAACAACATTTTTAAGGGTAAACGTCTTTCTGTGGGAATTGTGCCCGAGCAAAGACAGGTTTCTTAGAATGGATTTCTTAAACCCACCTCTTTAACTCATCTTTTGATCTTCTCTTTAGACATTCTTTGATACTTCTGTATCAATATTTGAGATAGCCCTACAAAATATTTGTATTGTTTTTACTTTGTAGTTTCAATGTGTGACTCTTACTGAACTACTCGGGATACAAATAATGATAGCAAGCGTTAAGTAGTAGGTCTTATCTAAGATGATACTCATTTTATTAAAAAGCACCAGTCTAGATGAGCTGAGGAAATTAATGTATATTTACATGCTCATTCCAATTCTCTTTTCTTCTGAATCCTATTTATAGCTATTGTTTAATTCTATCCAGAAAGTCTGATTTTTAGAATCCTAAAAACTAGGATTCTTGAAATTTATCTTGTCTAAATACCCTTGAAAATCATGAACCCCCAACAGTATCCCTGACCAATGAAGATTCATAATTTTCTTTTTTTTTTTTTTTTTTTTTAATGTTTTATTTCTGAGAGAGAGGCAGCGTGAGCAGGAGAGGGTCAGAGAGAGAGGGAGACACAGAATCTGAAACAGGCTCCAGGCTCCGAGCTGTCAGCACAGAGCCCGATGTGGGCCTCGAACCCACAAACCGTGAGATCATGACCTGAGCCGAAGTCGGACGCTTAACCAACTGAGCCACCCAGGCGCCCCTGAAGATTCATAATTTTCGAGAACAGTTTCTTAAACTGTATTCTACAAAGTACTAATTTGCTTCAAGGTGGCCATAGATGTTTTATGAAATAAAAAGGAGGGTGAAGGGCTGAGGTCAAATAAGTTTGGAATCCTTTTGGTTAAATAAAGAGAAGTTTGTTTTGTTTTTTTTATCCTACAGAATCTCTCACTCTTTAGTATGTCAGCTTGCAATGTAAATGTTCCAAAGGAGAGCAGTCCCCAAAGCAGTGTGAATAGGCAACCTCCAAGCAAGAATTACTACATCTGGGCAACATGGCAATCCATGGAACACAAATTTCAGAAACATTATTCTAGACTAGAAGGAGAAAAGACTAAATTAGTATGTTCTTTCATGTTACATAAATGCACGCTATAAACAGAAGGGATGGATTCAATTATACTTTCTTTTGATAAGAATTTCAGAGGAGACTGGTGTTAATAACCAATTCCCCTAGAAAGCATTTGGCACACTCCCTTCTTTTTAACATATTTTTTCTATTGGAATTCCAGGACTCTGGCTTCTCTCCTGCCTCATTAGCCACTCCTCCGTCTCCTTTGCTGATTCCTCCTGTTTCTCAAACTGTCTATCTAAGGGACCCTAGGGCTCAGTTCTTGGTCTTCTTCTCTTCCTTATGTGTATACTTACATACGTGCAAGTGTGTAATCTCATGGCCTCAAATGCCATCTATGTGCCAAATTTATATATACAGCCCAGTACTCTGTCTGCATTTAAGACGTTTATACTCAACTGCCCACTTGACCTCTCCATTTGGATGACTAATAAACATCTCAGACTAAGCAAGTCCAAAGTCAAACCCCTGATCTTTCCCACAATCTCACTTCACCTGCTGGCACTTCCTACTCAAGTGATGACAATTCAGTCTTCTCAGTTGGTCAGGCCAATGATATTGGAGTTTTATTTGACTTCTCTTTTTTCTCTCACTGCTCTTTCTCCTGTCCAATCCAGCAGCAAATCCTAACAGCTCTTCTTTAACAAATATTCAGAATTTAACCACTTATTACTTCCACTGCTCCTTCTGGTTGGAGCCACCATCTTCCTTTACCTGGACTACTATAGTACTCTCCTCATGGATTTCCCTACAGTACATTCTCATATACCAACCAGAATGCACCTGTTAAAAACACAACTCCTAGGGGCGCCTGGGCGGCTTAGTCGGTTAAGCGTCCGACTTTCGCTTAGGTCATGATCTCGCGGTTCGTGGGTTTGAGCCCCGCATCGGGCTCTGTGCTGACTGCCAGCTCAGAGCCTGGAGCTTGTTTCAGTCTGTGACTCCCTCTCTCTCTGACCCTC